ACAACTATCCAATGAATTACATATCAATAATGTTGGATAATTGACAATTTCACACCACTACTCCCATCTTCATCACTTTTTGGTGAATTATCAACATCATCATTGCCCCTTTTGGAAATCAACTATATATTTTTTATATTTTAGGAATTATCCACACCATTTTCAATTACATTTAGATTAAATTAAATTTAACATCTCGTATAATGTATGAACATGTATATATATGTATAAACATTTGAGAGTTTATAGAGTAATTGTGTCACATCGTATAAATTATCTTATCACCAACCTTTAAATTAAAACATCAGTAACTGGTCATTAAGTTTAAGGTTCAAACTTATGCACAAATGTGTATATATACATGAGTAATATAATGTTACATTTCTTTTCTTATTTCACTTCTTTACGCGATAACATTTGATAGGTTCATTTTATATTTAATTAATAAGTAGAGAGTTTATACTAATGTTAAATGAGGTCAGTTAATTTACGGTAGCCAATAAATAAAAAAGAATTTTGACACCATATCAAAATGTTTATATTAAGAGGTAAAATGATGAGGAGAAAACGTCATTTTTATATGCATCGCCCATAAAAATATCATAATTTCCTTTTTCTTGTCCATTTATTCATCTTAGTAATAAAATTAACTTAGGATATGTGATGAGTTAATACTTATCTTCTTTTTATTTTACATAGTATTTTTATTATTGTGAAACTAATGGTTAGACGACGACATGGAAGGCTGAATCCGGCCAGCATCAAACGTGGTTCTAACTACTATACAATTATTATAATAAAATAAAGTAGAGCATTTTGTTATCATCTATAGCTTTTTTGGCATAATAGTAAGTGCATGTTTATATGACAATTATTGATATCAAATTAAAGAAGGTTTGAAGTTGACAAGTATTGAAGGGAGATTGTTTGGTAAGTTGAACTCTCACTACTAATGATAACTTTTGTTGATAATAAGTGAATTATCTTGACAGTAATTTAAATTCATCAAAGTAAAACTACATAAAATTAAATTAAATTTGAGTCGTGTCCATAAAATTTAACTGTTACTCAAGTCACTTTCAACGACATATACTTTAATTTTATTATCTAGTATTTTTTTTTTTTTTGTTATTGTATAGAGAAAGTAATTATTAGATAGCGCAATGAATGAAGAACGAATATTAGATAGATGAATCTATATATGTACACACGGAGTACATTGAATTGAACCAATATTACTTGCATGAGATTTATACGTAAGTCCTCATGAATTGTCACATTGAAAATTACACAACCACCTTTTTTGTTTTTCTATTATTCCGTACTAAATATCAATCATTCATCATCAACCATCAGACTTTTTAAATTTAATAATCTACAGAATATATCATTTCATTCTTCTGTAGATTATTAATTAATAATCTACAGAATATATTATTTCATTCTTCACCATGACTATGTGGTCTAATGGTATCAGGGTTGGTATTAACATATACTACATTGTAATAGAGCCAGTAGCATTCAAAAAAAAAATCATTTCATTCTTCACATATTTTCTTTTGATTTCCACCAAATTTTCCAGCTTTACCAAATTAATCCTGAACCCTCACATTCCCGCCCTTATAACTTTGGAAGATGATAATTAAATTTTGATGATAAGTCTTGTGTCAGACTGTTTTATGTGAGATATGTAATACTTTTTAGTCAAAATGTAATATTTTTTATAAGTTAATAAAAAAAAAAGTATTACCATATATTTTTATTACATATTTCAATTTAGATCTCACACAAAACCAACTCAATTTTGATATCAGGGCTAGATCCAGATTCCCATCAACAGTTTGATCTATACACTATTGCACACAAAAAATGGAACATGCATAACACCGGCCTCTGATTAAACTAGAAGGGACCCGCATTCACCATCTGATCTTATCCATACGGACCGCACCCTAATCAAGTAGTGTAACTCTCCTAATTAATCTTATATTTAAACGATTCAAATTCATTTTACTCGGGTTAATATATTGTGGTTAGGACATGCATCCTTTAATTCAGAAGAATACAATGTCTTTAATTACTTGTATAAGAAAAAGAGAGTAAATATATAATTAATAGAATAGGCCCCCAGATAAGAAAAAATGCAATTCCATATATGGAAATTTATACAAGAAATTAAGTTGATGCACAGACCAAAGAGTGGACAATGTTATTTTCAAGTGCAGTGTGGGGTTCCCAACCAAAGAATTATATTGTTACGAGAGAAAAAGATATCGTGTATATTTATGTTGCTTTCAAGAAATTCCAAGGCTAAATAATAATTCATCACATTATTATTATATAGTCTGTTTTTTTTTTTTTTTTGGTGATGGAAAAAATTCATAATAAAGTGTGCATTGAATAAACTCCTTATTGTGATCCTAGTTAATGAATAACCACATAAAGTGACCCTAACTGATAAAGGACTACATATAAAAAGATTAATCAATCTAAGTTATTTATAGTTGACCAACTCAAATTGAAAAGACTACTAAACCACTCTCATTGAAAATCAAACTTGTAATCTTACAATTATGAAGTTAAAATTCTGACCAACTTAACTAAAATTTTCGCTCAATTTCATATTTTTGTTAGACGTTAAATTTCCCAGATTTATAATGGGTCCAGAAGTTGGCACCGTCTTTAATTGACACACTGCAATGCAAATGATAGATTTTGGCAATATGAATCCCCCCATTGGTTCAACCTTTTGACTTTCCTATCTATATTATAATATTGTTTTTTTCATTGTTCAATACATAACATACTTTCTTTGTCTCATATCAAAATTCCATTCACTATATGTATATACATTATATTCTACCGTCTATTTCATACGCTTGATTTTATTAACTAAAACAAAAGAAATTGACAAATTTAATTAGTCAATTATATATATATATATATAGTCGTTTTTAGTTTTAATTCCAAAGTTATTCCTAAATTGTCGAATTTGCCCTAAACGTTAACAAAGACATTATATTACTTTTTGTTAGGCCTAATAAAAACCTGACATGCATGGAGCAGTTAGGGATATGTCATATATATAGGATTTTTGACATTTTAACATGCAGGGCAAAATTGTCATTTTAAAAATATTACAATGATTAAAAAAAATTATTTTAGTTAACATCGTGACTCTTGAGTTTGAAAATTTTGTGGTAACTAAATAAATAAATATAGATAACTTAATTAACTATAAAGAACCTAATTGCAATAAATAAATAAAGTAACTTTTTGACTCCCTGTTAAAGATTCAATCAAAACTTTGAATTTAAAATTTTTGTGGTAAAAAAAAAAAACACATTTTTTCACGGCCATACCACATTTCAGTTGTGTGAATTGAAATGCTTGAATGGGTTTAGGTTATGGTCGTGACTCTTGTGCACTCAAATAAAATATTATAATCATTATAGTTATTGTTTAAAAATGTTAGGTACGATTTATTTCTTTTCCAAAAGTATATATATATAATTATATACGAAGTAATTCTCAAGAGGACATGCGGTGGACAGCTCAAAAGCACTATTATCATCAACTTTTTCCATTGTAAATTATGGATTTGACTCGTGTAGACATAGTTGCCTACATGCAGATTGATAATGAAATTGGAAATGATATTCCACGTGCATGGGAATTATCTTGAATTAAGAATAAAAAATGAATAATAAATAAATAAATTAATAAAATTAAGAACGTGTCTCCGGGCAATTGGTTGATGAACAAATAATTGATGCAAGTCAAATAATAAATTACACGAATTAATCTCGAGTTCATTCCGGCCATTATATTAATGGTGTTCTAAAAGTAAGTACATAAGATAAAGTCATTAAAATATTAATGTATATTTAATATTTAATAAATTTGTATATTCTGTTCTCCAAAACATATAATTAGCTTCATTTACTCTTACATTTTACTCCGTGTTTTACACAATACTTAAAATGATCAAGTAACAATATTATACACCTTATCAGTGAAGTGGCTTTTTATCATTATTATGTTTTGTTACAACTTACCTATAGTTATATCTTAGTGCCATAAAAAAAAAAACATTATTTTTATTTATCAAGAATGAAAAATTTTATATATTCCTAAACGATAAAGAAATATCATTTTTGATTTTCAAAAAAAAAAAAAAATCATTTTTTTATCCCTCAATAATACACTTATAAGTAAAGTGACTTTTATTGTTCCTATATTCTATTATGGCGCCTCTGTGGAGGTATTAACTATTTGTGTTTTAATAGATTGAGAAAGTATGTATGAACTACTACATTGTAATAGAGCCAATAGTACTCAACAAAAAAAAAAAAAAGGTTTCTATTATAATAGCATTAAACAAAAAGTGACCAATCAAAAAATTCTGCTTTCTATAATTATTAGGTTAGATCACAAGGTGTCCAAGGAGGCAACTTTAATTCAATGTAGTATCCTATTATGTCGCCTCTGTGGAGGTATTGACTATTTGTGTTTTAATAGATTGAGAAAGTATGTATGAACTACGTACATTGTAATAGAGCAGGTAGTACTTAACCAAAAAAAAAAAAAAAGTTTCTATTATAATAGCATTAAACAAAAAGTGACCAATCAAAAAATTCTGCTTTTTATAATTATTAGGTTAGATCACAAGGTGTCCAAGGAGGCAACTTTAATTCAATATAGTATCTGTCCAATAACACCTCGACTGAGGCTCGAACTCACAATCTCCCATATAAAAATCTAACCCGAGTGTCATCTGTGCACAAGGAGCTTGGCGAGGCACCTTTAATTTAATTTAGGAATATAATTTAATTTTTGGGTATGTATATGTATTAACATATAGAATGTGGGCGCAATGTCCAAATTCTGCAGTCAACATCGTAGAAAACTGTAGCCTTATAAAGTCAAAGAAAAACCAATAAATTAATTAGGCATGTGGTTTCTTCGTCGTCGTCGTCCGCAGAAACGCAAAATAATTATATTGTTGTCGCCAAGAAGAATAACGTTGTTGTCGCTGTTTCTTGTAAGTTTACATTCTTGCAGAAGATTAAATAAATTCCTCTTCCATATAGAAATACACTGTCCTACGGAAATGGGGAATGTTGCAAAAGTCCACACAGCCCAAGAAAAGTCCATAATCTCCGACTCCCCCTAGCTACTTTTAGTTCATCTTTTATGCTCCTTTCTTCTTTATATGGTTCCACCCACTTTATTACACATTGAATTCTCATCTCCTCCGCCTCTCACCGTCTTCACCATCTTCGCCGGAAAACCAGATCAGTAGAAATGATGAAAAGCAGCGGCCAGAGAAACAATGGGGTTCGGCAGTACAAGAAATCCGAGTTGCCGCGTCTACAGTGGACGCCGGAGCTCCACGGTCACTTCGTCGACGCCGTCGAGCATCTCGGCGGACGCTACAGTAAGTTCTATCGTCCCCTCCCAAACATCTTCCATCGGTTTACCTTTTTCGACAACCTTAATTAGCTATATTATAATGGATTATAAATTTCTTTACCTTTTGTCCAACGTTAACATATTGATCATGTCAACAAATTAACCATTGTGTACTATATGGGAATTGAGGAATCTTAATTCGATCTCGAAATTATTCAGTAAGATATGTGTTTGTGCGCGTGCCTGCCTGTATATGGTATCAATCAGTGCTGATTGTGTATCTAGTATCGTTCTATATTCTACCAGATACAATTAGAAATTGTTACTTATAATGTCTGGTACAATCATGTATGAATTGAAATATATATTACAGTATCATGTATCAATCAGTATCATAATCTTTCCTTACTTATATATGCGCGCGCGCACACACACATATATATATATATATATATATATATATATATATATATATATATGATGTGTTTAACCTAAATGTTGAGTTGTTTGGTATGGATGCAGAAGCAACTCCGAAGAGAATTGTGCAGATGATGGCAGTAAAAGGATTAAAGATTTCTCATGTCAAAAGCCATCTCCAGGTATATATATATATATATATATATATATATATATATATATATATATATATATATAAATAAAAGTATCTGTTAGTTGTACCCACAGCTTTAATTTGCCCTAACTTTCCTATACTTCTAAATTACACAGTATATATATCATAGTTTAGGATTAATAATGTTAAGTTTATGCATAACAACTAAGCTAATTAGTTAGATTTAGTATGTAATTTGTTTAAAATGTTTTGTTTGGTCTGGTGATTTGACGGAATGTTGGACAAACTTAACAGATGTACAGAAACATGAGGGAGCGGACAACCTTCGACGTTTTCGTGGCTGCAGAAAGCTGCAACTTCCGTGATGGCAGGTTACATTCCTCCACTTGGGCTCCCCAAGGGTAATTAATTAATTACTTGAATTAAGAATCACGTTTCATATTGACTTCTCTGGCCAATTCATTAATTACGTACTTTCCTAAGGCAATTACCTAAACCTGCGAAATTAGGACTTGTGTTTGAATACATTAATCTGACTTTTTAAAGCTTAATCATGAAGTCATGATTACCCAATGCCTTCATCACTATACTTAGGAAATCACTTATTTTCGCTCACATTTTGTGAAAATTTTAATTTCAACCTCTTTTTTTACCATTGCTGGGAAAATTTGAGGGCAGTTATATATGAAGAAAGTTTTGTATGCAGGCACACATTTGAAAGGTTACTAAGACAAAGTTTTGATGAGAGTGAAGAGGAGAATAAATTGGGGTGCTATTTTTCTGGTAATAATCAAAGAAATGAGAGCAATCCAATTGGGCATCACCTATTTTATCAGGTATATAATATTATGTACAATATCACCTTTTTTTGGGACAATTTATAATAATTTTGTTAGAAAAAAAAAAATCGCTGATAATCGATCCCGAAATGAGTGACTTAGTAGGTGAAGTATGATTCTCATATTAGAATTGAATGTCATGAGTTACATTCATGTTAACACTCTTGCGATCGAGTTCGACACACATAGTCTTCCAGTACAATTTACCTTCAAGAGCTATTAAACTAGAGCAGAATTTACTTAGTTCACACCATCACAGTTTTTCCACTGAGACTCGAAGTCATCATGACCTCCCATATGAAAGAGTCACTTCGTGCCACTAGATGAAGGTCCTTGGATTTAAAAACTTAATATGTAATTATGGACCCTAAGTTTTTGACCACTTTTTAATGGTTGAAAATATTAGGTTTTGGAACACTTGGCTTGTTAACCACAAGATTCTAAGTTCAATTTCTCATAATAAAAGTTGTATGTTCAACTTATTGGCTGATTTGAGCAAATCAGCTATAGACAGTGGCGGAGCCACAATGGGGGCAGTGGGGGCCACTGCCCCCCCTCAACCCTCTCTACTAATATATAAGTACATAGAAAAATCACTAAAGTGTTTAGTAGATCAATGGGTTGAATCTTGAATATGAAGATGGAGTGTCCAAGGTAGCCACTGGCTATAGAGTATAGATCAAACAATCTAAACTAATTTACTTTATTGTGATCCTTTACCAGCTAGGCGGAATTCAGAATACTTATTTCTCATATATATATTTCAATATTAGGTTGTTTACCATATTTGGACATATCATGCATGTACTTATCATGAAAAAGGCCTTGAAGTTTATTAGTTTCCAAAGAACCAAACAGATAATAATGAAATGAGTGTAATTATTAACGAAATGATGATATGATTTCCATCACTGCACTGCATGATATGCAGGAATCACAGGGAAGTCTGAACTGCGAAATGACGACGACCAAGGCGGAAGAAGACGGCGGCGGTCCAAGTGATGAAAGCTTTGAGCAGATCCCACAATCAGCATATAATGAAGACGACAGAAGACAAGTTTCGCCGGTAAAAGATGACCGGAACTCTCACTCCGGCGCCGCCTCAACCGACACGGTAGACCTGCGACATTTGCAGTCCACCAAAGACAGCAAAATCAACCTAGACTTGTCCATCTCGTGTCTCTATTGGTAATATAATGCATGCATGCATGGAGCGAGATAGATGTCATATATACATCAAATTAGGGCTGTATGTTCATACATGTTACACAGTACAATATTTGTACTGAATTCATAGACTACCCATTTTCCCAACTTTAATTTATTTGTTTATTTTTTTTTTTTTTGTAATTTTAATACTAGTTCATTTCACAACAATTTAAAGTTCACTATTTTCTTCTTCCCATTGTGGTCTAGTAAGTAGTTGGTCAGACAAATAGTTTAGTAATTACAATGCTTCAAGTTCGACTACTTATAAATTAGAGTTGTCTATTGATCCTTTTAATTTAATGTTAGCAGGTACCAAAAGCCCGTAAATCAAACAATTAATTTATTATTTATTTGTTTAGTAATTATTTGGATTTCAACTAACAATTCTTAGTCTAGTTGGTCCTGGATTCTCTTTTGTCCATACTGGGTCATATTTTGAAAGACCATTTAAATACTACTGTAAATTATGGAATTTTCGACCAACTGAAAGTGATCTTAAATCAAGTTGAAAGTAAAAAGTGGTCGGAAATAGCAACAAAAGTTATTCCAGATATCAAAAAAAGTCGGAACAAGGCTTTCTACTTGATTTAATATAAGTTTCAGGTGATTGGAAATTCTATAATTTTCAGTAGTGAAATAGGCCAATTTTGGTCTTTATAGATAAACTAATGTAATGGTTTATGGACCAAATGCTAAAGTTGCAATTGTTATATCGTGGACTTGTAAGATTGGCAAATTATATTGTGGATCGCGGTTCACAATGCATTGTGGTCTAGACATCAAATATCATTTTGATATAACTACAGTTTCGTTGTACAAATTACACAAAATATGTGAAATTGTTATTCGGTTAGTTTCATTTAGTATACATTGCAGTTTCATTTCAACACAACTACAGTTTCATTTCAATTCAATTGCAGTTTCATTTGATAATATAATAAAAATAATACGTAAGACAGTGTCAGTTTAGATACACTATAGCTGCTGTTTTGGACCATGGTCCACAAAGCTTTGTGGACCGCGTTCCACGGTATAATTGCTGTGTAAGATTGGTCTTCGTTCAAAATGACATTGTTTCAAAATAAATTTTTTTTTTTGAGTGCTACAGACTCTATTACAATGTAGTATTTGTTCATAACTACTTTCACAACCTACTTAAGCACAAAAAGTCAATGTCATCTTATTATTTAGTTAATAGTCATTCTCACTCTTTGCAAAGTTTCTTCGTATGGTTAGCAATGTGTCCCCTTTTTAAAAAGAAAAAAGAAAATTTAAAATAGGTGATTGTCCGCATCAATAGTTATGCTGAGGAAACGTGTTCACCATGCGCATAGTGAACACATGGGTAGATCCATAATTTCTATACCGTAGATTCATAATTTTTTTTTTTTTTTAAACGTAGATTCATAATTTTGTTTTTCATTTGTTGTTAACAGGATAGATCCATAATTTCTAAACTATAGATTCATAATTTCTATACTGTAGATTCATAACATCTATACTGTAGATTCATAATTTCTATACTGTAGATTCATAATTTCTGTACTGTAGATTCATAATTTCTGTACTGTAGATTCATAATTTCTATACTGTATATTCATAATTTCTATACTGTAGATTCATAATTTCTGTACTGTGGATTCATAATATCTGTAACAACAAATGAAAAACAAAATTATGTATCTATGTTTTCAAAAAAAAAAAATTATGTATCTACAGTATAAAAATTATGGATCTACCTGTGTGTTCACCATGCACATGGTGAACACGTTTCCACAGCATAATTTGTGTTGTCTGCATGGTATGGACTTAAAAGTGTCTCCTACAGTTAAAACATGCTCAAGACACCTCATGGTTTAACCCAAAAAAATAAAAAAGGTGATTGTCCAATTGGATTTGCCATGGTAGATGTGATTCTTTTACACTTGTTTGATTATTAACTTAAAAAGTTTGGATTTGCCATGTATATGTGATTCTTTTAGACCTGTTTGATTAACTTAAAAAAAAAAAAAAAAACATATGATATTGCTTTGTATAATTAACTTGTGATAAAAAATAATAATAATAATAATAATAAGTTATGTTTAAATAAGTAAAGTAAGTATAAAAGATAGAAAATGTTGATAAGTAATAATGAAGGCATTTGACAGGGACAAAGCTGAGATCAACTGTTTCAATGGCTTCTCCCCATCTTCTTATTCCTCAACTTCAGCTAAGATTAGTGTGTCTCCAAAGGGTAGAAGAAGATAGGCTTGGTCAATTTACATTTGATGCCAGTTATGTAAGATCCTTGTATACACATTAACCAATAGGAATTTCCTTGTTCACCCTGATGATGTCTTATAATTTTATTAAAGGGATTACTCAACGAGGGGATGTAGCTCAAATGGTAGAGCGCTCGCTTTGCATGCGAGAGGCACGGGGTTCGATCCCCCGCATCTCCATTTGCTAGTGAGTGCATTGTACGATTATGCTTGTATGAATTTTAGGCTTTGTGTTAGCAAATTAACACAGTATAAATTGTTTTTTTTTTGGCTAGTTAGATAAACTTTTTAAAAATATAATTATACCATATAACAATTCTTTTTAAACAGTTAGTGATACGTGTTCAACTATGAAAATTAAAAATGACGAGTTTATTATATTTATTATGACATCAAATAAATTATATATTTTTATAATTACCTTAAAAAATCATAGTCTCATAATTCAAAATTATGTTATTTGATTCTAAGTATTCTAATTTTAACATTCTAAAGTAAAAGCATTTACAAAAATTGAGAAAAAAAATTATCATATTTAAAAATCATTATAAAATTTTGAATTTTGATAACTATTAAATATTTTATAAAGTTCGAGCGTTTCTTTGCTAGACCGTGTAGAGTGAATGTTGCATCCTTTTATATTGATAGGTTCTGGTTTAAAAAAAAAAGTGAAAATAAAGCAAAAAAGAAATGCACGTTGATGCGGTTATCTTTCCGAATCAAGACACGACTTCATTTGGCTGTATCGTCCAGGAGAGCAACGGAGATGTAGTGGCAACTTTGAATGGGCCAATTAGGTGTTTAAACGACCCCATCTTGCAGAGGCGTTAGCTGTAAAGAAGGTTCTGTCTTGACTTAAAAACAATGAAATTACAAAGGCGATGATATTTTTTGATTGTCAGATGGTTTGCAGACTGCTTAATAGTTCAGTATTGGATTTATCCTAGGCGGGCTCGTGATACGAGAGTGCAAGCTTCTTCAACGACACTTTGAGACCGTGTCTTTTTGATTTATTTATAGATCAACGAATAAAGTGGCTCACGCATTAGCTAGAGTTGTTAGTTCTCAGGCTGGTCCTATGAATTGACTGTCTTCTATTCCTAATTGTATTGCACATTTCTTTGATTAAAGTTATTGAAGTTTGGTTTTCAAAAACAAAAAAGAAATGAGAAATTACAAATGAGGGTAATAAAATAGAGTTAATTCCACCGGAGGTCCATTGACCTTTGGTGGCAATTTCAAATTTAGTCCTAAACTATCATTTTTGCCATTTTACATCTCAGATCATCTTTTTTGGACACTTTTAGCCCTTATGATTTTTTTCTATTTTTAGTAAGGACTTTTTGTCTCTTTGTATTTTTCTTTTGTTATTTTTCCGATTTCAACCAGTTTAATCGGTTTAGGACTTTACTAAAAATTGGTTGAAAGATATGGTTACTAAAAATCAAAGGTTACTTAAAGTTCTAAACAAATTAAACTGGTTGAAACCGAAAAAATAACAAAAGAAAAATATGAAGAGACAGAAATGCCCTTACAAAAATAGAAAAAATTATGAGAATGACTAAAAGTGTCCAAAAAATAATAATGTGAGATGTAAAATGACAAAAATGATAATCTGTGACTAAATTTAGAATTATCATCAAAGACAAGGGACCTCCGGTGGAATTAAGTCGAGATTTTAAAATTTGCCCTATTTCTAAAAAAGACCTCCAAATCCCTAAAGGGCGAATATAGAAATTAATATCCAAAGCAGTGGCGCACGCCGAGGGTTTCTCTGTACGGACTGCCTAAAACCCTTCGCAGAGAAACAGAGGGAGAGTAGAAGCAGTGCAGTGACAATAAGCAATGGACACGAAGACTGCGGCAGGAGGCTCTGGGAAAGGAGGGAAGAAGAGCAAGAAGGCGAATAATGGAGCTTGGCCCAAGGGCGTTGATGAAGCCGCTCGAATTCGGATTTCAGAAATTCTCCAACGCTTTCGATCTTCTAATGAAGAAGGTATTCCACACGGATGGAGTTCCTATTTCGAATAATCACTCAGCTCCATAAACTCAGCTATTTCTATATTTGTGCGTGTCTGTGTAATCTCATTTCCCGCGTTGTTTGGTGCTCTATAATCTCAGTTACTTGAAATGACAACTTTCGTGTTTATATTTCCAGTTTTAGTTCCTTTTTATTTGTTTACTTCAACTTTAGCTGAAGGAGAATTTGTGCTTAATCGGAATGGTGTTGAGCCCACTAACCTCTATGCACTTAAATGCGGACTAGTTAAATCTTGGCGGTTAAAAGTGAGGCTCTGTATAAAACTTAGATACATATACAGTATGCAGTAATCACTAAGTTGGGACTGATTTGGGCATGAAGTAATTGTTCACCTATATGCGGGTCAAGATCAAATGTAATACTTATACTAGAATATATAATATTAATAAGGAATGAAATGTTATTACTTATATTGGAACATGTAATACTTTGAAGAAAAATGTAATGCTTTTACATTTTGATTAAAAGTATTACATTTTCACTTATATGTAACAAACACTTGCCAGCATTACTTATAAGGGAAAATGTAATAATTTTACATCAAAATGTAAAAGTATTATATTTTCCTTTATAAGTAACAAACACTTTATTCTTGATTAGTATTACATTTTTCAGTATAAGTTACATTTTCATATTGACCCGACCCATTTCACGAGCAAGGACCGGTGAGACGGTCTCACACAAGTGTGACCCTTGTTACATAAGATGCCGAGTACAACTTTATTTATTTATTATATAAGTAAAAGTTATGAGCTTTGTATGTTTTCGGCTTTGCTTATTTAAACTGAATGCTGTAAGTAAGTGTATCTATTTAAACACGTTACACTTTTATGTCAGTGGCTATACTCTTTAATGCCAATCTGGATGGGCATGATGTACATATAAAAGAAATTTATACATGCTTATATTGTTAACACAGTGTACAAATTTGGATCAAATCTTAACAATTTTGAGCGAGCAGCAGTGCATATGCTGTGTAGGAAAATGGGCATGCGCTCCAAAAGTCATGGGTAAGTATATATGATATATCATCCAGCCAGCAATTCTAATGTGTTTTTCAATTTTTGTTGGATTGTATTGGTGGTGTTCTTTGTCAATCCAGCGTAGGTAGGTGGTTCTTTCATTGCCTAATATAATTTGAGATCATGAACTTGGTTTGTCTAGGCATGGGAATGCACGTCAGGTATCTGTTTTCAACAAGGGAAAGAAAATAGACTCACAGAGAGGGAATGAGACTCTCACTTGTCTTAAGTTTTCAAAAGGTGCAAAAACCATTCTAAATGATCTATTTAGTCGATATCCACCTGGTGACGAGGAGACAACTTCTTATATGTCTGAAAAACATAATAAAAAAGCCGGCAAGTTATTTGGATTAAACGATGATATCTTCCGCAAACCTGCAATGGACAAGTCAGATATTGCAAAGAAAGTGGAACTACTTGCTTCTAGAGTGGAAAAAAGCCAAGACCTGAGACAGGTTTATTTTAGTTGTTGTCTTGTTGGTGTGTGTGTTTTTTAATTTGTGGGGGTGCCGGGGTGGGGCTGTAAAGGCTTCAGTTGTTCTTGTGGACTCATGCATTTCATAACGGTATCTGATACTTTTACTTGCTTATGCTGAACTTGAAGGAGAAAATAAACTTGTACTAACAATTCACAATGGTCTTCTGTGTAGACTTTAAAACGGAGGTCCAAACTTCCAATTGCTTCTTTCAAGGATATCATTACATCAAGCATAGAATCTTATCAGGTTTTTTCCATTTACTTGAATCCATATATGCATTTGTGTCTTCCACTGCAATTAGAATCATGTTAATCAGTGAGCAAAATGTTTGGCATGCTTATGGATTAGATGGATGCTTGTTCTCATATATGATATATATTGGAAACTTTAGGGGCCGTTTACTAACTAGAAATTTCTGGAAACTGGAAAATAGAAAACAGAAAACATGTTTACCAACACAGTTTTCCATTTTGAAAACTGGAAATAATTTCTGAAAATTTTTGAAAAACTGGAACTCACTTAAAAACTGTTTTCAAAATGAAAAACAGAATCATCTATCATTTATTTAGTTATATATCACTATAACCACATTACTATGATTACTTTCATTATCATCTTATTTTACTTATCACTATCTCCTATCTTTTCTACTTACTTATTTAAACATAATTTATTTGCTTACACTTTAAAGTTAGATATTATTTACTTTATCAAAATTAAGAATTAGACTCTATTTAATGTTTTAGATTTTGATTGAACTGAATAGATTATTAGTTCAAATATTTTTAATTATGTTACATCATAATACAAGTTCGGTCCAGATATCGGATATTGAAATCTCACATATATTAGAATTCAAAGTAAAAGTTATATATTCATATACATGTCATTCAAATGAATATATCCAAAAAAATATTTTAAATATTAGCTCAAAAAATATTAATATATTATCTAAACTAAATTTTAGGTGAAAACTGAAAAATTAGAAAACAGAAAACAGATAATAGTTTTCGGTTAGTAAACAAATTTTCTAAACAGAAAACAGAGAATGGAAAATAGAAAATGAAAACTGAAAAATTAGAAAACAGAAAACAGAGAACAGTTTTCTGTTGGTAAACGGACCCTTATGTTTCTCAGCTTTGAAAGGGCATCCTGTACATGATTGCTTATGTTTCCTATGCCTTTTATGCAGTTTGGCTCCTCTCTGTCACTTCACTGAATTATCCATTTGTATCATGCTCCAAATGCAGGTAGTGCTAATCTCTGGTGAAACTGGATGTGGAAAAACTACTCAGGTAAAAGTCTTGTTACTCTCCTAATGTATATTAGATTTATGTCACTAAACTGATAGACATGCAAAGCAAACCTCATATCTCTCCCCTTACAAGCTTCTTGGTTTCTTCATGCTTTTAATGAACTTTACATGTTTGCTCATTAAGGATTCTGCATCCCTGAATGCAGGGGCTTTAGGTATTTATTTAACTCAATCAGATTATCAGAAACTTTTTTTGACTTAACTGCATTTTTTTTTCCTTTTCCATGGGGGTATTTTTGCCCTTTGTATTCATAAGTTATTTGCCATTACACCCTTTTTTGGTCATTTTTACCAAAATTTGGCTTAGGTTTAGATGCTGCTGGCTTTAATTTTAGAGATAAAAGTTATATAAAATACCTAAAAAATTCAAAAAAAAAAAAAAAACTGCTTGGCTGAACAACCGAAATCTCAAAATTGTAAAAAAAAAAAACATTTTTTAATTGTTGGTAATGTAACTTGAAAGGCAAAAGGGCTCAATGAAAATGGGATGTATTCTTTTTTACTTTTCTTTACTTGGTTATTTGGGGCCAAGATGAAGTTGTAGGAAGCAATTAATTGGAATAAAGTGGATATTTAAATATAAAATTTAATAAGAGCCAATAATGTTAGTCCTTAACTTAAATGAAATTTGTGTTGGTAGTATAAGTAGTATCAAGTGTTTATTTTTTGTGTTGTATGTTTACACTTTCTTTCGATTTTCACCCTTCACATTTTTCCTTTTGACCTTTTATGTAACATTAGTCCTTAATTAGAATGAAAATATCTATAAGAGGTATAAGTGGCATTGAGTGTTTTTTTTATTTTGTTTTTTTTGTTTTTTTTTTGTTTTTTTTGTTTTGTTTTGTTATTGGGTGTTTTTTGTGTTGTACCTTTATACCTCCTTACCAATTCTACCCTCAGTATTTTCCCTTTTTGTCAATTTTACCCTCACTATGTAAAATACAAACAAATGCATACATATGTAGTTTTTATATACTTAATAATAATAATCTTGAATCAATGAATAATGTGTATCTGTTTTAATTTAATATGATTTTTCATTTGTAAATTTAGCTTTTATTTATTGTAACTTGAAAAAAAAAATTTAAAATTACTTTTTCTAAGAGAGTTTGCCTTTCATTTGTATGTTACTTGATGTGGAATATATGCATTATTGATTTATTGTCAACAAAGCATTCTTGTTTTATTTATTATGGTATGTTAAAACTCTAACTAGAACAGAAACTTATCAATGAACACTAATTGTGTTTGTTAAAAGTGTAATTCTTTTGAAATACAATATCTACTATGTTCAATGTATTTTTTGGAAATTTATGCAATATAATAATCTTTCTTATCATTAAAAGTCAAAATTTATCTTCTAATAGTTATAAGATTTATACATTTCTTCATTTATTTCAATCATATTATTTTACTCTCTTCTTGTAATCTTGTTTTCGCTGGGCATTTTTCAATCTCACACCGTGCATATTTACAACTAGTTTTCAATAAATATCAATAGGTTGACCCTCCTTTGTACTGTTGTAACAGGTTCACACTGTGAATTTCTTATTGTGATGCTCTAAAAATTTTGTCCCCATTTTATTTTCTAGGTCCCACAATATATTTTAGATCACATGTGGGCTAAGGGTGAGACGTGCAAAGTTGTGTGTACTCAGCCACGGCGTATTTCTGCAACTTCTGGTATGCTCAAGTGCTCAACTGCCTAAGCCAAGTGTTTGGCAGTTTCCCATATACCTGTTTGTTCGTTGTTTTATCTTCACACACACACACAAATATATATATATATATATATATATATATATATATATATATATATATATATATGTTATTAGGATTTAACTATTCCGTTTGCAGTTTCTGAAAGAATTTCTACTGAAAGAGGTGAAAATCTTGGTGATACTGTTGGTTATAAGGTAATCTATGTTACTCTGTATTCTCAATCTGGATTTAGCCCTCTTCCTTGTTTCTATTTTTCCTCATTCTACAGCCAATTGTAAACATTTTTTTTATCCATTGATCTTTTGGGATGTATCCAGTATCCACTTGTAAGTAAAAATGGAATTCCAGAAAGAGGTTCTGAATTTCCAAGAAAGTCCAAGTTCCTGTTTACTTTCTAAGTAAAACTGGAATTCATGAAAGGGATTTGGATTTGGGAGAAAATGAGGAACTCAGTCTTAGTCCTTGTTAAATCTATTCTGTCTTCATTATGGGAGCTATTAATTGGGTTCTGTTGTCCTTGAGACACAGGGTTTGCAGTGAGCAAACTGCTACTTATGACTCTCCCCACCCCCCCCCCCCCCCCACCCCTCCCAAAAAAAAAAAGAAGAAAAGGAAAATATGACCTGACAAAGGTGAATAGAATGTTTCATTACAAAATACGAATGTAAAGGGTATGCTTTTTTTTTAAATGATATCAGTTGTTTATGGTGCTATTTTTATGTTTACGTTGACCAACCATTCTAGACTTGATTGATTGGTTTGTTGATTCAGTCTTTAGTGGCATTTATTTCCCCTTTTTTTTTTGTGATTCTAATATTCTATACAGCCTCCCCCATATACATGTAGGAAAGTATTTTACAGTTTACACCTCTCATTTCACAGTAAAATCAATACTGTGTATTGTATAATTGATTACTTATGCTATTGTGACAAATTCTAGATTCGGATGGAAAGCAGCGGAGGAAGACACTCGTCTATTGTATTTTGTACTAATGGGGTTTTACTGAGGATTCTGGTCAACACTAGCAAGTTGAACAAAAAAGCTTTGCAAAGGGGGAAGGATGCTATGTCTGACATTACCCACATCATTGTGGTATTTTCCATTTCCAGCTTGTTTGATCTATTTTGTAATCCTACTATGTCATGTCTCAAGTTCCTTGTATTACAAGTTGCTTACATGAAGTTGCAATCATGTTACCTGTACAGCCATTGCACTTTTGAATAAGATGAGATCACAAATTGGTTTGGCCATGAAAGCACGATTCAATCACTCGGGCAAGTTGATGTGGTCACAGTAAATAAAAAGATGATATACAAAATCAATATGGGAAAGTGACAAGGGCTCAAAGATAGGGTTTTATTTATATAATTTTTTTTTTTTCTAATTGATTTAGATTTCCACTACTTATGTTCAAACAATAAAAAGGCATACAACCTTCTCGCTAAGATGTAGATTGTCTTAGTGAATAGAGAAAAAAATTGGTGTAACTAGGGGAAATGCTACTTTTATCCAATGACTAGACCCATTACACATAGATGACAACTAGCATGGCACAGCTAATACTTACTAAACAACCGTATGCAAGTTTACCGCTAAGTATGTCAACTTCTTTCCTCCACCTAGTCACTAGGTAAAAAAGAAGTGCATTCTGTGCCTATATTGCTGGAAAATAAAACAGAAGGTGAGATTATCCCTTAGTTGCCTTGATGATTCAACAAACCCTTAGTCCAAATGGGAGTTTGGTTGTGATGGTTATAGGTTAAGGTGTATTCTTGGATGATTTTTTTGCTAGTGTCAGCCAGAAGTTATGGGAGTTGACAATGGCAAGGTAGTGATTACGGTGTCCTTACATATTTGGTGGATCGGTACACTCTTACTCAGGAGATATTCTTGGTTGCTTTTTTGACAATGCAAACAAAAAGTTTTTATGTATAATTGGCAGTGCCATGGTAGTGATGCATCATAATTGCATATCTTCTTTTTCTTTTCCACAATTATAGATTTATGGAATGGAATGTGGTTACAAGTTAAGAGATGTCCCAGACCATAACTTACTATTTTATATGAAATATTAAAGAACTTTAAATTATTACTCCCTAGTTCTCTTTGCTTGTCTGCTGTGTTCATGATAACATCCAAAGCCCAGAGGGCCTGAGGTAGAAAGCTTTTAATAATTTCATTAAGCCTAAATAATGTGGCCCAAAAGGCTGCTTTGAAGGTATGCAACACATCAAATGACATGATCATTCATCTTGTGCAAAGCTTGGACCATATTTACTTTTCTTACATCTCAATATGAGTTCATACTACAGACACCTTGAGTTGCTCCTTTTTCCCTGTTGCTTGCCATTTTGCATAATATTTTGGATTTTATTCCACAGTTTGTATTAGATATGATTAGTAGCCGTAGCTTTAAGTATTTTGCTGTTACTTTTTTTTCCCTGGACGTATCCTGTTGCTTGCTTTACACTTCTCCATATTGCTTTCATGATCTGGGATGTGGACATGTGGTTTCATATTTATGTAGATTCTTACACTGTATAATCTTTCTTACAGTCCACAAGCTTGCAGCAAAATGTGCCACAAAATCTTTGATGTTTGGTGTTATTACCCTATATCAGCTAACACGTGCTTTGTAATTCCCTAGGATGAAATTCATGAAAGGGATCGCTTCTCCGATTTCATGCTAGCAATTATCAGGTGAGCCCCTTAAGCTATCATCATGATTTATCTAATTTTATAAGTATACTGAATTACTGAGTGTTGATCTGCATCTTTGCCTTAGATTACTATCTAAAGAAATGTTAAGAAGTTGCTTTTTCCGTGTAGGGACATGCTTCCTTTGTATCCTCATTTGCGCCTGGTTAGTATGTTCCAATGTATTCAAATAAATATAACACCTTCTCTTCAGTTTCTGGTTACAATTACATGCAAACAGTTTGTGTTCAATTTATCAGTTTGGTGGCAAATTTCTCTTTAACAGATTCTAATGAGTGCCACAATGGATGAGGAACGTTTTTCAAAGTATTTTGGCGGCTGCCCAATAATCAGAGTCCCTGGATTCACTTACCCAGTAAAATACCTCCTTATGCTATTGTCTTGTTTATTGTTGCACATTGCTGACCTTTCTTCCTTTGTTGTTTAGTGATGTAAGTTTTGTTTTCTTTTTAGGTAAAAACTTTCTACCTAGAAGATGTACTTGGTTTTGTTAAATCAGTGGAAAATAATCACCTTGACAATACAACAGCTAGTCTCAACTCAAAAGACTCCGTATTAACAGAGGAATATAGAGTTGCCTTAGATGAAGCTATTAATCTGGCTGCAACTGATGATGAGATTGATCCCCTCTTAGATATAATATCTTCTGAAGCGATACCTGCAGTCATTAATTACCAACATTCTTTGATAGGAGTGACACCTTTGATGGTTTTTGCTGGAAAAGGTAGTATCAATGGTCTTTGCACACTCCTTTCTCTGGGTGCTGACTGCCACTTAAAAACCAAGAATGGGACAACTGCTCTAGATTGGGCACAACAACAGAACCAGACAGAAGCAGCTGAAATTATTAAAAAACACATTGAGAAATCATTTTCCAATTCTGAGGAGCAGCAACTTTTACTTGATAAATATCTATCAACAGTTCATGCTGAATTGATTGATGAAGTTCTCATTGAACAGCTAATAAGAAAAATATGTATGAACTCAAAGGATGGAGCCATCCTAGTTTTCCTTCCTGGGTGGGATGATATTAATAGAACAAGAGAAAGATTGCATAAGAGTGCATTTTTCAAAGATGCATCCAAGTTTTCAATAATTCCTCTCCATTCTATGGTTCCATCAGTGGAGCAAAAGAAGGCTTTTAAACGTCCTCCCCCAGATTGTCGCAAAATCATTCTTTCAACTAATATTGCTGAGACTGCTGTTACCATTGATGATGTAGTTTTTGTAATAGATAGTGGACGTGTAAAAGAAAAAAGTTATGATCCTTATAACAATGTATCAACTCTTCAATCCTCTTGGATTTCAAAAGCTAGTGCCAAGCAACGTGAAGGACGCGCAGGGCGCTGCCAGCCAGGAATCTGTTATCATCTTTATTCGAAACTTAGATCAGTTTCACTGCCAGAGTTCCAAGTTCCTGAAATTAAGAGGATGCCTATCGAGGAGCTATGTTTGCAGGTGCTCTTCCTGCCTTTTTATTTAAGAGTGTGTGCAAAGTTGGGCTTTTAGGGGTGTTTAAGCAAGGGGTCCTCTGTCTGGACATGTTTTGTTTTTTTATCCTGTAGGTATTGGAGTTAGCCTTAAATCAGAAAACTGAAAACAGTGCCCATAATGAAATATTTGGGGAGATATATATATACATATGGAGTATATTTTAAAGATAGTTGCAGTCAACTTTTCATATTCATACTTGCCTTGTATCTTTGTATGCTAAAATATTTATTTTTTTGACATTTTTTTTATTGCACATTTGTATTAAAAGGTTTGTTAAATAATGTTTTTCACTGCAGATTAAGCTTCTTGACCCAGATTGTAATGTTGAGGAGTTCCTTCAGAAGACATTAGATCCTCCTGTTTATGAGACAATAAGAAATGCAATTATTGTTCTGCAAGATATTGGTGCCTTGACTATCGAAGAGAAACTTACAGAACTTGGGCAGAGGATAGGATCTTTACCTGTTCATCCTCTTACAAGCAAGATGCTTTTGATTGCTATTTTATTGAATTGCCTTGACCCTGCATTGACATTGGCCTGTGCATCTGAGTATAAAGATCCATTTACTCTTCCAATGTTACCAACTGAAAGGAAAAAAGCTGATGCTGCAAAAGCAGAGCTAGCCACGTTATACGGTGGGCGTAGTGATCAATTGGCTGTGGTGGCTGCATTTGAGTGCTGGGAAGGTGCCAAGCAAAAAGGTGAGGAATCGAAGTTCTGTTCTCTGTATTATGTATCATCTGGTACCATGAAAATGATATCAAGAATGCGCAAGCAGCTGCAGTCCGAATTGCTTCGAAATGGGTTTATTATACAAGGATACATGTCTGAGTATAATCTAAATGCTCAAGATCCAGGAATTCTACATGCTGTCCTTGTTGCTGGTTTGTATCCTATGGTAGGGAGAATGCTTCCACCTCTCAGAGGTGGAGGTGGAAGGAAAAATGTTGTAGAAACTGCAGGTGGTGATAAAGTTCGATTGCATCCTTGCTCTACCAACTTCAAGCTGTCAGTCAAAAACCGTGAACAACCTATAATTCTATACGATGAGATAACTCGTGGAGATAGTGGTTTGCACATAAGACGTTGTAGTATAATTGGGCCACTCCTGCTGCTATTGCTTGCAACTGAGATTGTAGTGGTTCCTGCGAATGATAACAATGATGTTGGTGATGACAATGGAAGTGACTATGAAAGTGGCTGCGAAGATGACAGTGAGGAAGAGAAAAAAAAATCAGACCTGTCCAATGGAGAGAACGTTATGTCGTCTCCTGATAATAGAGTGAAGGTCGTTGTTGATCGGTGGCTACCTTTTTTTTCAACTGCTCTTGATGTTGCTCAGATATACTGCCTGAGAGAGAGATTATCTGCTGCAATTTTGTACAGAGTAAGTTCTATAACTCATTTTCTGTCCAGACAAACCCCCTCCCCCCACCCCAATGCCTCCTAATGAAAAAAGGATAACAAACCTTTTAAAAATCAGTAAAACCAAGTCGTCCTTGATAAAATATTGCTTCTCTATTGTTCTTTGTTTGTTAAATATATTGTGGTGTGTCATTATGTAGGTGACATATCCATCAAAAGAACTTCCTGAAGCTCTATGTGCTTCTATGTATGCATTTGCTTGTATCCTATCATTTGACTGGATGAATGGGATCTCATTGCCATGTGAGCCCATCGACTCACTTACTACAATGGTTCGTTCTGCTGAGATCAGTGAGTCACCTTCTGGGAAGAAAAATGCGGAGGCTAATAAGAATTATCTTAAGTCACTTATGTGCCATGATAGCTTGCAAAACCAAAACATGCCCACTTCCCTTGGCGCAAGTTCATCTCAGAGTTCTGCATTGCAAGATCTCCTTTCTGGGCCAGGATCAGCAATGCACAGGGGTTCTAGGAGGCAGCGTGGAAATGGATCCTGACACGTAGATAGTTGAAGATTGAAAGGTTACTGTGACAAAAACTTCATCTAGGTGCAGTGGTAGCTTTACTTTTACAGCTCCTGAGAATTTCACTTACACCTTCCAGTTGCTACAAGTACTCTGTGATGCACTGGAGTAGAGTTTGGTTTTCTCAGCCCCAAAACCAGAGGGACAATTGTTGTTTAGCTAAGAACAAGCAAAATCTGAGTTGCCATTAATGTTGTTTGTGGCTCTCATCTTTCCAGTTTTCAGCAGGGAAGAGGGGAGGAGTCAGAAAATGAATACAAGTTGAAGTTACTTTCTATATGATATCAGAGATGCTTCTGCCCAATATTGATTTAGAATATAGTACTAAAGCTTTGTCATTAGACAATATATGTATCTTTAGGACTGGGGAAATTGAATTACCCCCAAATAGAAGCATGTTAATCTTTGTGTTTGCTTTCTATCCTTCTACTTGACCATGAAGTATTTTGGATACTCATGCTTTATGGCTTTTCTAATACCAAATTTTCAGAAAGATATCTGAATATTGTTGAAATTTTTTCAGCCTTTTGGTGAGGTGTTGATTGGTATTGATGCTTTTTATACTTTATTCTTCGATATAAAAATGTATTAATGCTGTGCTCTAGAGCTCAACAAGGGCTGTTTTAGCTCAAGAGGAAACCTTATCAAAAAATATAATTCTTACAGTGTACGTTATCGTTGATAAATAAATTCGTTTTTAATATAATATATTAAAAATAAATATCAATTTATTAAAAGTAAATATTTATCAGTAATTTAAATAATAGTGTGGGTCATGGTATAATTTGCTTGGAAAAATGCACCAAGGGCTAGTCAAGGAAGGAAGCTTGCCTACAGATGCAGCAATCTTTTATTTATCTGTTCGTGTCCTATTTGTCTGTATGCGTAAGTATTCAGTCAATAATTTTTGGTTAAATTTATGTAGCAATTTCCTATAGTATCTATGCAGTCATACATTATTGTATAATTGTATTACACTATTACAATTTATTTTTTCTATATAATTTTTGAGTTATTATATAATAAAAAAAATGAGATTTATCGTTTAAATATCGTCAAACAATAATAATAATTATGAGTTCTCATTCATACGAGCTTAGTTCAATGGTTCAAAGTATGAATCTCGGCAGCCACAATGTGAAATTATATTTAAAGTGAACAGATTCTTTGTGCCTACCATCATTTGACCTTGTTTACTGAGTCATTGAATTATCGTGATTGTTCTGTCGAGTTAAGCTGTGAGGGCTCGTGGAAGTGGGGATTTAGGGAGAGTGAAGATTTATGAGTTGTCGTAAAAATTAAGTATATAAAATATTGTTTTAAATAAAGTGGCCCTTGACTATTAGTTTATAGCAGAGTGAGCAGCACCTCCTTTTGTGGTGGTTTCCTCTACGCAAAGAGTTTTCTCTCTGATACCTACAAAAGCTCTATATATAAATATACAAACCCAAACCCAAACCCACTTTCCTCCTTCTCTCCTCTCCCATCCTTACTCAGCCCAACCCAAACGCCATTACCGAGAACCAATCTCAAACCGTGTCCCCTCTCTCTCTCTCTCTCTCTCTCAGTCTTTGACAGATAGCCGAACCCTGAATCCACTACCTTCCTTCTAATCTTGCCGACAATATTGCTCTTCTGCTCCTTTTATTTGACTGATTTTTCTTTCTTGTGTATCTACTTTGATCTGAAACCCCAAATCGCTGTCTGGGTATCGGAGATTGTTGGTCAATTTGTTTATTTCTTGTGGTAATTTCCATTTCTTTACTTTTTTTTTTTTGTTATTTTTATTTTTCCTTTGTGTTGTACTGTTGTGGTCTTTAAATTGGGTTACTAGTTTTTACTTGTGGCCATCATATCTATGGATGTATGTGCTTAAATTTTAGGGTTCTATCTGTGTTTAGTTGGGAGCTGTTTAAGGAAGATCAACTTCAATCTGATTGTCTCTCAAGGGAGAGATAGCTGATATTTCTGTTTAAGAAACTTAAAGTTTGTTATTTTATTGTTTAGTCTAATTGGAACTATAGAACTCTAGATATAATTTGCTAGATTATGGTAAGGTAAGGTTTGGCTCCTCAGTTAACATAAATTAACTAGCTAACAGGTGTTGGAGGATAGGCTTATTTATTTTCTTCTCCCCATTACTTGTTTTCCTTCTATTGCTAGTCATTGCCAGTGCATTAAGATTATCTTCCTTATTGATAAGTGCATTCGGTTTTCTTCCTTTAATCTGTATAAGGTCATGTTGTTTTTCCATTACCCGCATTCATTTTTTCCTCTTTCTATTCATTGCACATAAAATGCTGAAGTCCAGTGTAGGTATTCCTTTTGTTTACACAGTCTGTCTGTTTATATGATTGGTTAGATTTCTTCTGGTCTCTAAGTAGTTTCCTTAGTTAAATAGTCAGTGGCATCCACTTGGAATGAATTTTGGCCTTAACGTAACAACAGAAGCAGTTACTGATAGACTCAGTAAAGAACCGTAGCTTCTAATGTGTGAATGTGACACAGACACCCACATTCATTTTTCATTCTTTCAAAAACTGGCAACAATGCAAGAACATGATTTTAGTCCCTCCTAAAGATAAATGTAGCAATTGGGGGGGGGGGGGGGGGGGGGGGGCTACTGATTGGATAACTCACAGTGTGTTTGCAGAGTCAAGATTCCTTTTTTATTTATTTTTGCTCATACTATGATATTCTTCATTCCATTGTTTAATGAAGGCAGCTCTACTGATTGTTGAAGTATTTAGGAGTAGTATTTGAATTTGTTATTTGCTTTTTAGTATATATGGGCTAAGGTGTACATTTCATGGGAGGCATAGAGGATGAAGAACCACCCTCAAAACGTGTAAAAATATACTCTGGAAAGTTGGGAGATCTTTTGAACGGAATGTCTCATAGAGAGCCTGCAAATTGCTCTCTAGCGTTCCAAGGGGAGGACGAAGTTGTTGGTTCAAAAGGAGTTGTCAAGAAAGTTGAATTTGTTCGAATCATAGCTGAGGCATTATATTCTCTTGGTTATAAGAAGACTGCAGAACAACTAGAGGAAGAATCGGGGATACGTTTGCATTCTGCAGTTGTAAATTTGTTTATGCAGCAAATCCTTGATGGAAAGTGGGATGAAAGTGTAGCTACTTTACATCGAATTGGTATAGTGGATGAAACCATTATAAAGTTGGTATCTTTTTTGATATTTGAGCAGAAATTTTTTGAGCACTTGGATGGAGATGATGTCATGGGTGCTTTGAAAACTTTGAGGACAGATATAGCTCCTCTATGCATAAAGAGTGATCGAGTCCGTGAGCTATCCTCATGTATCACATCTCCTCCACCAAAGGCTCTTGTTGGGATATCAAGTCTGGGTACTCTGAGGGTGAAGTCTCGCTCAAAATTGCTGGAAGAATTGCAGAGATTACTTCCGCCTACCGTTATGATACCTGAAAAGAGATTGGTACAGCTTGTTGAACAGGCTCTTGACTTGCAGCTTGATGGTTGTAGGTTTCACAACTCTTTTGTGGGTGAAATGTCATTACTCACTGATCATCAGTGTGGCAGAGATCAAATCCCTTCTCGAACTTTACAGGTGAGAGCATATTTGCTGATAAAGCTTTTATTCCATTTAACTCTAAAGTCTAAACTTGCATGTTATTTAGCACTGTGTTAAAATTCTTTAACATTAGCCTATTAGAATAAGTTTATATGGAAAGCAATTAGTAGTATTCCTGTAAAATGTAAATGTTTTTCCTCAGAAACAGATTTTCCTTCTTTGTTTGGATGGATCATGGATCATATTGTTTTTATACTCTCCCTCAAACACCTTAGCCAATAGTAACAGAAATAAAGTAAGTAAAGATCATAATAACATTAAAGTAAACGGCAGCACTTTAAAACCAAACTGACCAAAAAACTGAAGGTAAACTCGACTGTTATTTCATATTTATAGCTTTTAAGTTTGAACTTAGTTTGATATTTTATGGTGTGTTCTTAATGTAATAACCACTTGACCAGAATTTGAGAACATTCAAGTCAAAAAGCCCATTCGGCTATAATCCATTTGGCTAGCTATTAAGTTAGAAACCCTACAGTCTCTAACATAACTCCCTCATTCCTCACCCACATTGTTCCTCACGCCCTCACTCTTCAATCTTTCAACTAAAGCAATGGAGATGGTGAATGACATAGCGAATTGCGACAAATTGATGAATACTCCAATTAGATCTGTGGTTGGCCTTTCCTTTGTATCTTTTACATCATATTGTTGGATACTTAGAGCAACACCATTAGTGGTTTTTTCTTGGTTTTTATGCTTGCTTGGATGAGAGAGAGGATGACATGGAAGAGAGAGGAGAGAGATTAAAATTAATTTGCAGGGATGTGGATTTTTTGTGGGACCCTGGAGGAGAATAAAAAAGAAAAAAATTCATCACGTGTGCGTTAACTATAAAGCATTTTTTTTTTTTTCTGACAACACTTTTTCTTTTTTTTTTTTTTTTTTTTTTTTTTTTCTTTTCTTTTTTCTTTTTCTTCCTTTTTTTCCCTCCCTCCTCTCCTACTTGGTTCCTAAAAATTTGTGAAAAAACCAATACTAATGGGTTTGCTCTTACTCTCTTAGATATAATTATTTTTCCTTTAGGTTTTCGTATTCGACAACAGTCAACTGGTTTCCTCTTGGATTTGGCTATTTGCTTAATTTCCCTTTGTTTATCTCTCTCTATGTACATGTGAGCTTAATGCAAGATCCAAGAAAAGCATAATTTGTTTGAAATTTTCTGTTTGAGACCCAAAACCGACCGATACTGTTGGTTTTGGTTCCTTCAGTTATCAAATGTTCATCTAGAAAAAAAAATTCGGTTACCAAAAATCAACCAAAATTGACTGATGCTCACCCCTACAAACCAGATTGTAAAATTTTGGATATGAAACCTTGTCTTATTTTGATGAGTGTATAAAGATTTGGCAACTGAAAATGAATGTTCAAGGAGTTTGTGATTTTGCTTTTCGATGAGCCATTTGAAGTTGTGAACAAGTCAAAGCTATTTTGAGAGTTTTAATTCTTTCCTTTTAAAAAATAAAAAATAAAAAATTCTGTTGCAAGTTCATTATGTAGCACGCTAATGTTTACTTTTTGTTCCGGCAGATCTTGCAGGAGCATAAGGATGAAGTCTGGTTTTTGCAGTTTTCTTATGATGGGAAATACTTGGCCTCATCATCTGTAGATTGTTCGGTTATTATATGGGAGGTAACTTTTGACTGTTCTTGTATTGCCTTATTTGTCCTGGGTTGTTAATATTTGTTGGTTTAGTTATATTGTTCTTTCTTTCCTTTGTATTTCTTCTACTTCATTATTGGTTGATTTTGGAATCTGATGTTTTCTAATGGAGATATTGACATTCTCCATTCTTAAAAAACATTAGGAAATTTGGACCATTAGAACGATCTCTCTCTCTCTCTCTCTCTTCTTTTGGGTTAATTTGTGTCCACAATGCACCCAAAAAAAAAGTTTCCTTTATGAATATATGATGTGATTTTGAAGGTAAATTTTAAATTTGTATTTATATGTAAAGGATATACAGATAATTCTTTTGTAAATCTTTAATAAGAATATTCCAGGCTAATCAAGTGGCTGCAAATGATGATTGAAATATGCAATATGTTACTGCAGATTCATTTCTTTTTAAAAAGTTCTGCTTTTTTCTTAAATTGTGATTTACCCCTTCTTTCTCTTTTAAGGTCAAACAAGATGGTCAAGTCTGCTTGAAGCATCGGCTTAATGGTCACCAAAAACCTGTGAGTTATGTTTCGTGGAGTCCTGATAACAATCAGATTCTCACCCTTGGAATGGAGGAAGTTGTTAGACGATGGGATGTGGCATCTGGGGAATGTGTTCATGTTTACGAGAAAAGTGGTCTAGGTTTGATCTCTTGTGGATGGGCTTCCGATTGCCACAGAATATTTACTGGTGTTAACGACAAAAGCATAGTGATGTGGGATGTAAATGGTAAGGAGTTGGAATGTTGGAAAGGGCACACCGATAAGATATCGGACATTGGGATCAGTAGCGATGGGAAGCAGATTGTTTCTCTTGGTAAAGATAATGTGATAGTTGTATTTGCATGGGAGACCAAAACCGAGAAATATATTGTGGAGGATAAACACATAACGTCGTTTGTATTATCGAGAGATGATAAGAGTGTTCTGGTTAGTCTGTTGAACCAAGAAATCCATGTTTGGAATATAGACGGAAGTGTCAAGTGTATAGCCAAATATAAGGGCCACAAGCGGTGCCGCTATGTCGTGAGGTCGTGTTTCGGTGGACTAGATCAAGCGTTCATCGCTAGTGGAAGTGAGGACTCACAGGTAGCTTCTTCTTTTCTTGTCAATCAAACGCCAAACTTCTGTCACTATCACGTATCCATCTAGTGTTGCAAAAATCCCGCCTAGGCGCCCCAGGCGCCCGCTCTAGGCGGTCCCCAGGCGCCCCAGACGCCCGCTCTAGGCGGTCCCCAGGCGCCCCAGACGCCCGCTCTAGGCGGTCCCCAGGCGCCCGCTCTAGGCGGTCCCCAGGCGCCCGCTCTAGGCGGTCCCCAGGCGCCCCAGACGCCCGCTCTAGGTGGTCTCCAGGCGCCCGCCTAGGTGCTCTAGGCGGTCCCCAGGCGCCCGCCTAGGTGCTCTAGGCGGTCCCCAGGCGCCCGCCTAGGCGCCCTAGGCGGTCCCCAGGTGCCCGCCTAGGCGCCCTAGGCGGTCCCCAGGTGCCTAGAGGGCGCCTAGTGATTTTTTCAACATTGATCCCATCTGTTATTCATATCATTCATCTTCGTTTGTGATCCCGAAATTGATTGTATGTATATATTCTTGGTTTGGGTAGGTTTACATATGGCATAGAGGGTCGGGAGAGCTTGTTGGGATGCTGCGGGGGCATTCTGGGACCGTAAACTGTGTGAGCTGGAACCCGGTGAACCCTCACATGCTGGCGTCTGCAAGTGATGACCGGACAATTCGCATATGGGGATTGGAGCAGGTAAACATGAAGAAGAAGGAGGCTAACGGCGTTGTTGTTAGTAACGGCGTCCACTATTGCAATGGTGGAACCTGAAAGCATAATAATCTCAGCATGTTTGTGTTTCACCAAAGGTTTCTTTCCCAAACCATTGCTTTTATATATGTAAATTCTTTGTCAAGCTGACATTTATATGGAACAAGAATGTGAAATCTGCATTCCCTTCGCCTTCAGTAATAAACCTGTACTTTTGATTCTCACTTTTTATTTTATTGTTTCTTTCATATTTGATTGATATGAAACCCATGAGACAATGGTCCATCAGTGGCGACATTGATGAATCTACAGTTTAGAAATTATGAATCTACAGTATAGATTTTATTAATCTATAGTATAAAAATTATGAATCTAGAATATAGAAATTATAAATCTACAGTATAGAAATTATGAAGGATAACAATGTCACTAACAGCACCGTTACTCAATCACATGAAAACGGCGTCGTTTGAAACTGCAAGGTGGGCACGGTTCCACAGCATAATAATTGTTTTAACCAAAACCAATTTGGTTAAAATAAATGGACATTTATGTATGATGTCCAAGTCCAATACAATTGAAATGTGCCCTGTTTTTTGGGCACAAGTCAATCTGCTTGGTCAAGTCAAACAAACGTACTAAATTGTTTACCAAATAAACGTACAGAATAAATATGAAACAAACGTACTAAATTATTTACCAAATAAACGTACAGAATTAATATGTAGGTGTTGGTGTTACAAAATAAAAATACACAATAGTACAATATATTAATGTTACGGTTAATAGTCTCCTTGACGCCATGCCCAAACCCAATAACTAATGTTACGGTTATTGGTCCAACTCAGTACGCCTCCCTCAGTCACTACTCACTATCAAATATCAATCCATATCCTACCTAATTTCATATTAACGTATTAAACACCTCCATTAAAGTATAAGATAAAATTCGTATTGTTTTTTGGATTACCATGAAAATATGCATATTATCTGAATGTGTGTAGCGCGCAGGTAAATTTTATTTTTGTGTAATAATTTATGAATTATTAGAAAAATTTGGTGTGATGTGTAATAGTTACGTTACGTTCATAAATCATGGCGAATTATATTTTGAATTATGAATAAATGTCTATTTTTAATATAATAAAAGAGTGAAAATACATTATTTATATATTGAAGGTTCATTATTTGGCTATCAAATTCTGAACCTTCAGTACTCAAATAATATATATACCGTACCTTATAAAAATGAATATTCAGTACGAAAAAAAACAACATAATTTTAGTATATTAAAAATGTAGCATTAGGACATGATTCATGGTATAATGTATATGCCATGGCCATGATCAGATGTTGTGTATCATGCCAATTAAGAAGCCATTATTGGTTTCTGCAGTATCGGGCCGGGGCTAATCTTGGAAATATAATGGGTATTGGGAACATTAGATGATGGTTTGATAATGGATAAGGTTCTTGAGGTTATCATTGGTGCCAATTGGGATTCATCAATATTTTCACCCCAAAAGAAAATCAACTTTCCAGTTCAATAATACCTCTTTATTCATCTTTATCCCAACTGAACCAGTAAGTTAAATCCAGATAAATATCCATTTATTTTGATGTGTGGTGAACCTTAATTATTTAGATTGATTAACCAATATTGAGTTATATCCAGAACGTAAGTATCCTTTCATAATTTTGGGTTAGCATAGAGACATTTGTCTAAAGACTTGAATTGTGAGCCAACTACCCAAGTGATCAAACATAAATATGGTCTTTTTTTAATAATGGGGGCCAGAAAAAGATAAATTTTTTTTTAAAGAAATGATGTTTTTGATTTTTATTTTTGGAAAAGGATGCTCTTTGCTTTTAAAGTTTTAAAGATTGAAAGCAAGCAGGCAAGCAATCACATGGCTTAGGTTAAAGACAAGATCGATTAAAGATATTTTAGCAGACGGAATAAATAGTGCGAGTCCCACATCTGCTCTGCCTAGTGCCAAACTTGTCGTTCGTTCTATGCTTCTACATAGTGATTAGTGAACCCACACTCCTTCCCAACCATAATTTATTATTCTCTCTCTCTCTCTCTCATTTTCTGCTTTTCTTATAGTCACGTTTTTAACCCCTTCCCCCACTCCCCTCTCCTTCCTTCTCCCCTATCTACACCCTTCACTCCCTCTCTGCTTCAGCATCTGGGTTGGCTTCTATCATCTGGTTAGTTTCTGGGCACTTCATCCTTCTTCTTGGATTTGATTTTTCTGTACCCATTTTTTGTTTCTTTGGTTTCTTTTACCCCAGCAAATTATAGTTTAATGCTGCACACACTTGTTAAAACTTACAAAGAATCTATATCTGATTTTATTGTAACTTTCTTGAATTAGATTACCAACGTTTCTTGAATTTCTGATGTAAAGTGGGGGGTGGTTTCTTACTTTCTACACTACTTTTTAACTTTCTAGCTTGAATTGGTGTTTATTTTTGTTATTTTTTCTGATTTTCAAGAGGCTTTTTGTTCTGGGTTGGGGTATTGTTCATAAAGTTTGAGTCTTGCTGAAGAAAATTTGCAGTTATTTAGAATCTTGTGAATATCATCATAAATTAAAGTCCCATCACTTTATGATATCGATTTGCAGTATTTTTTAATTTCTGATTCTTTTTGGCTGTGGTTTCAATCTTTTGGTTTGGTTTGGTTTAGATATTTTATCATTTTGGTGGCCCCACTTGTAGCTAGTCATGTATAGTTGAAAGTTACATTGCCCCAACTGATGCCCCTATTGGAATCATGAGAACAGATTGCTTTCTCACATTATCTGCTCATCCATATGGTTAAGTTAGGGCAAATAAACTGGGGAAGAAGGATCTAGTTGTGACTCATGAATATATTCTTCTAAGCATTCTGGTTTTCCAAATGTAGGAGAAATGCCGGAAGGAATAACACCAGAGGGTCTCTTGAACAACATAATGGAATCGATTTCAGATGGTGTATCGAAGCACAAGTCTGGGTCATCGTTCTTTGAAGAGGAAAAATCGAGCTCGGTCAGAGCTCAATTGAATAGGCTATTTGGGCGCGAGAAGCCAGTGCACCATTGTCTAGGGGGAGGCAAATGTAGGGAATTGTACTAATTGTTTTGATATTTTTTCCTAGTAATTGCGGTGAGAATTTGCTGTTCTGAATTTCGTTAACTGGAATGTATGTAGCTGCTGATGTGCTGCTTTGGAGAAACAAGAAAATCTCGGCCAGTGTTTTGGTCGGTGCTACACTCGTATGGATGCTTTTTGAATGGCTCGACTATCATTTACTTACCCTCATATGCATTGCGTTGATTCTGGGACTGCTCGTGCAATTTCTCTGGACCCACACTTCGGGCATGATGTCCAGGTAAGCTAAATCCACACTTCTTCTATTTGCTGCATTGACTCTGTACATTTACCAGCCATGAGCCTTCAATTGCAACAGGTCACCATCACAAGTCCCCCGTCTCGTTTTGCCTGAAGAAGTATTCGTCAACATAGCAAAGACAATAGGCGCTGAAGTAAACCGTGCTTTAATCTCCCTTCAAGACCTCTCTTGTGGCGGGAGTGTGAAGCAGTTCCTCATTGTATGTTTCGAATAACGAATGAGTCTTCTTTAGTCTCTTGCTTTGAACCCATGATCTTTGGCATGGCTCTGATACTAAATTGAAGCATGTGCTCCATCTCAACTAAAAGCCTAAGCTGATAGTTAGATTGCACATTAATGGTTATATGCTCAACAATGGTCATATGTTCATCTATGCTGATATTTTGGAACTGATTCTAGGTTGTTGGGAGCTTGTTTGCTGTTTCCGTCATTGGAGGCTGGTGCAACTTTCTGACTGTTCTGTACATCGGTAAGATTCTTATTATCTTTTGTCTGGCAAGAGATGGCGGAATTTTGAAATGAGCAAATAGAATTTATCAGATAATTTGGCGTGGTTGTCCAGTTCAGTAATCGACTTTGTACATTACTTTCTAAACCTTGCATTTTTATGTGCCATGAAAATGGCCATAGGTTTTGTTGCTGCCCACACGCTCCCCGTGCTTTATGAAAGATACGAAGATGAAGTCGACAACTTTGCATATAATGCCTTTGATCAGCTGCAGCACCAGTTTAGGAGGCTGGATTCTGGTGTCCTCAGCAAAATCCCGAAAGGGAAGGGAAAGAAGTTCGAGTAGATTTCTATGAAAGCGCTATATATATATATATATATATATATATATATATATATATATGGGTGTATTGAATTATTAATGTATTGGAAATTAAACTTGCATTAAGCAAGCATTAACAGCTTCTGTCTGTATATTGCTGCTGTTCTCTTAATGAGAACCAACAAAATTTATGAAATTTAGTGAAATGTGAGTTTCAGTATCTCTATTTCTCTGTGGAAAATGTATCATGTTCAAGGTTTCAAAGAAAATACATAGCATGCTGTGTTGCTACATTCTATCATCTCCCTCAAAATGAAGTTCGTATATCTATTCAGCAGGCTACCACAGATCTGTGAAAGATTGCAGGCATTATAATTTGCACTTACTGGCAAAATAGTCGCATCCTTCATAGACTTCGAGACCTTGTTGGTCGAGTTCATCTTTTTTGAAGCACGCACAACGCTTGCTCATTTTTCCCGTTATAGCTATTTCCACAGGTCGTTGAACCAATCTTGGATAACCATCATCACACCAAACCTGAAAGAAATGTTTAGTATAGGCGACAACTTCAGCCAAGCTGGTCAGACTGTTAACTTAGTAATCACAAGATTACAAGTTTGGCTCTCAGTAGGAGCGGCCTATTGGCCTTTTTGGTTTGATCCGATCACCTTGTGGTCTTTTGTCGGCTAGGGTCACAACTCACAAGCCTCACCATGCTCGGATTTACTTCTTGGCTTTCAAAGCACTTGAAGTAGAGGATCAGTACAACCAAGATGAACAACGCTTTTTAGCTTCAAAGTTATACCTCAGAACCCTCGTCTTGACTCCACCTAGAATTACAGCTAGGAATCTTTGCCTCTTCGATCTTTTGTTTCTCGAGCAGCTGTGCGCCTCTAGCAGCCTTGGCTTCGGCTCCTTTTAAATACTTGGTAGGGTTGCCATCACTGTCATAGTAGCGGCCAACTAGTTTCCCAACAAATCTGAAATTCAAGAAATCTATTTAGTACTATCACTTTTCATCTGCTAAAAAGTCGAAGCCAAATGGAGTGTTCAAAGCGGAATGTGAAGAAAGCCAGATAACTTCCCCCCATAAATCCTTAAAAATTTACTCCTATTCTCGATATAGCATTCTAAAAGACTCACGTATATGTTCTGAAGTAGAAATCTCTCCAATCAACAATGCTTTTAACCTCAGTGCTGGATAAATCACGCAATGAGTCAGTAAGTCCATCTCCTGCATTAACATGACACAAAAATACTTATAGAGATACAAATATTATAAACGGCACCTGGTTGTCAACAAATCATTTAGAATCATACGATGCATACGGTAGAATCATTAATATTTTCCATAGTCCTCTAAACCAGATAATAAAATTCATTCATACAGTTCCTTTTATAATGAGACCGCTCTTCCACTTTGTACTGGCAGAAGAGTAAATAGATAGAAAGCAAAGAGCTGAATATAACTTTTATTTGTCTCTAGTACCGTTGATTAAATAGATGTTTTCTTATCTTCTCTTCTTAGCAATACGTTTTAGAAAATAGTATACTGTGATTTGCTTGCTTATACATGCCAGTATACCTCATCCTCTAGCAATTATTAAGTTGACTTTGATGGGAATATTTATGCATGGCTGAATACTTGAATGACTACATATACAATAAACCGAGGCTGAAATAAAGCCATAAAACTATTAATGGCTTTATGCAATAGTGGATAAGAAATAAGGCTGAGATTAGCAGACAGAAAGCAGCCAATAAATAAAAATGCAGAAGAATACACCGATCAAAGAAAAAACAGAGAACGAAGAAAAAACTAGCATTACCGGTAAAGTTTCCCGAAACAAATGCACGAGAAGCATCTCTATAAGCATTAGGAAAACAATAAAAAAAAAAGTCATGTTAGTCTACCAAAAGTAAGGAGCCTAATCAATACCATATTAGATCAACAATATACTGCATGAAATGATGAAATCAAGAGCAATCTCTTTGGTACTACTATCATTCTACATTAGCTAAAAAAAGAGAACATAAAAACCATAACTTGAACACATGATATTGGAGCATAACTTAGCAGAAAGCACAAAACTTCAGAAACAATAACTACAAAGATTAAAAGGAAAACAGCAACAGCAGAACTGAATTTCTACAATCAAAAGCCAAGACCAAACAAAGTAAAGAACAAATTTGGAAGGGATAACAGACCTTCCTGCGAAATGATTGTAACCACCCCCTGCACCATAGTGACTCTTTCCTTTGGTTACATCAAATACTGACCTGTTTATTTCAATCCACTCAAAATCATTTCTTTTAAAGGAACAATCTCATAACATTGCAGTAGAGAGCGAGAGAGAGACTCAGAGAGTACCCAATAATGCCAAGAAGAATGGGCAAGTTAGGGTCTGAACCATTGTAAAGAGCTAGCTCCTCCGGAGTGAACAATCTCTAAAATTCAAATTAAAATAATAAAATAATCCAATAAATCCAATAAAACAATCTCCCCCCTTTTTCTTTGAAGGAACAAAAAAATAATAATAATAAAAACTAAAACTTTAGCTCATTTACCATAAAACGCACACACAATTACACATGAAACTAAAGGACTTACAGGTGTAGATGGCGGAGATTGTGACTTGAGATGGAAGAATTTGAATAGAAGAAAAGAGAGAAGAAGAACTGAGAGAGGAAGAGAGAGCGCAGACCACCTCATTCCTTGATTCTCCTTCGTTTTAAGTTTGATCATCCTCAGATCACAGAATCGCGCAGTCAACAAACTTTCAGCTCTTCATATACTTAACCTCCTTTTCAAATCAGTTAATAATGATTTCACACCAAATTTATAATCATTTCATTTTTAGTAAGTGTTTTAATTTATATTAATTAATTAATTATTGTAAATTGAAACATTTTGTGTGTATATATATATATATATATATATATATATATATATATATATATATATATAGATTCTGGATCAGGTGAGGTTCCTAATTAAAATGAGGTACGGTGAGGGTGGATTCAAGGCGTTGGGTTTTGAGATTGTGCGGATGTGATTAGAAGGCAGGTTCAAGCTTATTATTGGAAGATTCGTTTATTAAGGGGTATTAATGTAATTAGCAATGAGTCATTATTTGTGTTACCGTTTTTATACTTATACTTATTCGTTTATTAAGGGGTATTAATGTAATATATATATATATATATATATATATATATATATATATATATTGATAAAATTAAGTTAAATATTTTAATATAAATTTGAAACACCTCAGACTATTTTCTCCAATTCAACTATTAGTTAGATATTATAATAACATGCGACTACCTCACCTTAGTCAAGTTGATCGGACAATTGACTTAACAACTATAATATTTTAGATTGATTCTATGTGAGTATTATCTATTGATATTTGGTGGGCATTCTATGTTGGTATACCTTCCTGTAGTTTAGACAACTAAATGGCCTCTAATTAGTTATTGACATATTAGGTTAGTTTATCTCCTTGTAGTTTGAACAATCAAATGACGTCCAGTTAGTTATGAATTATCTAAGTTGATTTACTTCCTTGTAATTTGAGCAATTAAGTAACCTTCAATAAATTATGGACATCATAAATTAGTTTATATCATTGTAATTTTGACAATCGTACATAGTCTCAATACTTAGATTGTTATTTAATAATTTATATATAATTAGTAAATTAAAAAATTTGAATAATTATTTATTGATAATATTATATAATAATTTTAAATATCAAAGTTATGCATATTGTTGACTTATATTTATAAAATTACGGATTTGATTGTTAGTCTGAGTAATTTATTGTGCTTTTGATTCGAGCCTTAGTTAAAGTGTTGTTGACTTTGTGTGATTTATTAAGTTAAGAAAATATATTTAAACAGATACTACAATGTAATAGAATCAGTAATATTTAAAAAAAATTATTTTACTTTGTTATGATTATTTGACGATTCTAATCAGAAAGCAAGATTTACACTACTCAAATAAAAATAGTAACTCCCTATTAGTTGTTTGTTGTTTAAATAACTACCTATCCACCATGCCTACGTGTATTATCGATTTTCCCCAATTGATATTTGTTGAAGCTTTCCCAGTTTCCACAGTCCCACTGCAGAATCGTCTGGAAGAATTCTTCAACACACCGTCGTTTGCTCCGGTTCCGGCAGTGCAGGACTTTATCTGCAGCAGCCTAGGGGAGCGCCTGACGGAGATACTCAATAACCAGTAAGTTAAATTTCTTCCATTACTCAGCACTGGAGCTCTCCAGTTCCGAGAAAGTAATTTATGTTTCTAGAAGCGCGGTTCACCGGTAGCCGTAGACTTAAGAGCAAAAACGAGCGGAAAATGGCGAACTGAGTTAGGTCTTCATCGAGTAACCTATGGAAAACATGGATAGGGAGATAATTTGGTTATAATTATATCTATTAGTTTTAATTTGGAGTTAATTTCAGTTTTGATAAGTGATTTGTAGGTGACACTACGTTTTTAGTCGTTTTTTAGAAAATTCACTTTTGGTCTTAGTATTATTGTGGTATGTTATCAACAGAACATTTTAAATTTCGTTAAATACAAGTGTATTTTGCTCTTTCAATTATGTATTTTTTCAAAAAAGAAAAAAAGAAACAAAAAAAATATAGCAAGTCAACCTACTTTTTATAAAAAATATTGAAACGTCATTGTATTTAATGGCATTTCAACGATTTTGTTGACGGAGGATAAGCAATGGATGCCATAGTAATACTAGGACCAAATGAACTTCACTAAGTGAATTGCCACCTATAAATCTAGGACAAAAAATGAAATTAACTCTTTTAATTTGACATGAAAATGAACTTCAGTTAGTGTAGGTCATTTCACTTTGATTGATTGCTAAAGCGTGTGTGGCCATATAGAGCCAATCTTTTCAGGAAATATGCCTACTGTCTTTTCATTTTAATCTGCAATATTTATAAACTACGGAGTATTTTTTGTATTTGGTGATGATTTTCGCATTGAAGTGGGTAAATTTCTCCCCGAGAAGTTAGATATGTTCACCTTTGGCATGCCGTGGCTTACCATAGTTCGACGCAAAATGCAATAATGTGTTTTAAAAAAAATTAGGAGTGGATTTTATTTTCCTAACCTCAGTTGAGTTTCTGTAACTGTATTTTTACTTATTAGGCAATCTTGGATATTGTGTGTTGTTCTTCTCTCAGATGGATTGGCAAGAGAGTCTGAATAGGTTTCAAAAGCAGCAGGAGAAGTGCCAGTCTACCCTTACCAGTATTGCAGCTAAAGCTGGATCTTCAAAGGCAACTCCTCCCAAGGCTGCATCCTCAACTGCTTCTGCAAATGCGAAGTCTCCTGCCCCTCCAGTCAAATTCTCTAATGATACAGAAAGACTTCAACACATAAACAGCATAAGGAAAGGTCCTGTAGGAGCTCAGATGAAACGTGTGATAGACCTGCTGCTGGATGTATGTATCCTGCTTTCTTCAGCTATTTCAAGTCTTTAACTAACTTTAAACATTTTTTTGTTGGTTTATTTCATTGATATCTGATACCTGCTGCTAACCTTCTGATGACTTATCATTTTTTGTTGTATACATCATCAAAATATTTCTTTATGGAAGTAATAGAAGAAATTATACATTAAGGAAAACGAAATGAAAATTGTGCTGAGGACTGGCGACGTTTGTAATTTAGAGAGATTCTTCTGCATTTTCTTGTTTAAGTGCTTCAGTGTTGTGTATTAGTGGCACGTCAATTTCTCAAAGGTTTTATATTGGGTTTGTGCAATGAGTTTTTCATGAGATATTTATATCCTATTTCTGACATGTGGGGGGGCGGGGGGGGGGGGGGTGGGGAAGAGGGTATGGGTATGTATATCATTATTTCTATATGCACTAAAAAACCAGACATTTGTATATTTTGCAATGAGCTGTTGGGTAGAGTCAATGTGTCAGCATAGAGTATCTGGTTTGTCAACAAGCATGAAAAGGATAGAGTGATTGTGTCATGGAAAAAGCCTTTATTGAGAGATTATGCTTGTAGAATTTATGTTGCTATGATACCCAATCAAATTCTGACTGGTGAGGACCACGAGGTCTGTTGCTATTGACACCAACCTTGGGCATTTCTACTTTTAACCCACCCTAAAACTTTGACATTCACAGTTTCTAACTTTCTATAAAAATGTATTCGATGTCTGAGAGCTTTATGATAAGTGGAATGGTATGCCATTTGTGGGAGGCCAGTGAAAGCAGCAACATGCTAATTTGTGGGTAGGGATCATGGGCTTGATGACTGCAGTCAGGTTCCTGGCAGGGGTGGATAAATTCTTTAAATTTGCTTTTTATTTTTTGGCCCAACATCGAGCGGGTCTTGCCTTGGGACTTCATGGGCACCCCGCACCCTCAAGTTGCATTAGCAATTCTAATTATAGATTCAAGAGAAATTATATTACTCTCTTATGTGTTGCCTGGTTCAATTCAGACACATATACCTCCTCTTTGTTATATATGCTATTCTTGGATAGATTGTCTAATTCTTTTAGTTTTCATGTCATCAGACTAGGCAAGCTTTTACAATAGAACAAATAAATGAACAATGTTACGTCGATATGAATGCCAACAAGGCTGTATTTGACAGTTTGAGAAACAACCCAAAAGTCCACTATGATGGCAAGAAATTCTCTTACAAGGTAATCCTACCCTTCAATTCCCAAAATTCTTTAACTTTTGTGTTTGCAATATACTACCCTCTTCTTTTCAGATTGCCATGTGAACAATCCAATTGTAACCAAAGTTTTTCTTGTCCACAGTCGAAGCATGATCTCAAAAATAAAGATCAGTTACTGATTTTAATTAGGAAATTTCCTTGGGGTATTGCTGTCATCGATCTCAAGGATGCATACCCAACTGTGATGGAAGACTTGCAGGTATATATGGTGTTATTATTATTATTTTTTTCTTACCCAACTGTGATAGCATACTGGATTTAAGTCCTGTGTATTTTTGTATAGTCTCTGAAGGCTGGCGGGCAAATTTGGCTGCTGTCAAACTTCGACTCTCAGGAGGACATTGCATACCCTAATGATCCCGGGGTGCGTATTAAGGTTGATGATGAACTGAAACAGCTATTCCGAGGAATTGAATTACCACGCGACATGCTTGACATTGAAAAAGAGCTCCAGAAGAATGGAATGAAACCTGCTACTAACACTGCAAAGAGGAGGGCAATGGCACATGTTCATGGCATTTCCTCCAAGCCCAAAACCAAGAAAAAGAAGCACGAAATTAGCAAGAGGACCAAGCTTACAAACGCCCACCTTCCCGAGCTCTTTGCAAAACTCAACTCCTCTGGTTCTTGATGTTGGATTAATCTGTTTAGGGATTATTAACCTTTGTGCCAGGAAAGACCAGTAGGATCTTGACTCTATCTAGTTAGAAGACGCTTAGACCCATTAGTGGGTAGAATCCTCATATCTGTTCACTTGTTTAACCCTTTCGAGTAGGCTGTATTTGAAAACAAAAACACATTATAATGTTACCACCCATGATCCGTGCTTTATGTGCTATAAAAATTTGGACTGTGTTTATGGCGTTTGGTGTTTTACTGTTTATCAGTAACAGAGACCCAAAAAGGCTGCCTGGAATTTGAATTCTTTGTCCGGGTGAGGATGACCTCCTAGGTTGTTCATAATTGACTGATTCAAATCAATAAGGTTAATATGATAGAATTTTATAGTTATTTAGTAAATTATTATTCAACCAATTTGATTGGAATTGTCTTAAGATTCGAACATGTGATCAATGATACACTAATCAACTAATTTGTAGGATATATATCTAGAGGAAGTCTTGTACGGAAACAGTTTCATATGAAATATGTAATACTTGAATATTACATGCTTGAGACTGTCTTACACAAACTTTATTTTTTAAAAAAAATTATCATAACTACTAATCAAAATTAGATAGATTTGGCGGCAATAAAAAGGCTGTGTGTTTAAGTATAAAATGGTGGATTTTCGTAGTCCACCCGTGTCACTTCAGATTCAGAACCATCAATATATCTCTATTTGTATAAAGGGGACAACGACGATTCCGACGCCAGACGCCTCAAAATCTGAGAGATTCCCAAATGCAGGCTCAAATCTTGAGCTCTCCTCTCTCTTATCGCTACCTACTCAATCATTCCGCATCAAAAACCCTAGCCTTTTCTAGGAAACACTTGAATTCTGACAATCCTTTCTCCGCACCGAAACGGAATTGCAAATTGAATGGTATGTGCTTCCCGGCTGAAAGTATAAGATTCGTGGAGTTTATTTATTTGTTCTCATGTTTTTCGATGGCTACTCTGTTAGGATTTTCACCGGTTGGAGTATTCAGGAGGAATTTGGATGGTTGGAAACGGAAGAGGGGAGGTACTGTATATTCCTCTGCCGAGGAACTGAACACCAGCACCAATACGCTGAGGAAAAGGTTATTTCTGCACTTTGTCTGTGAAAATTGAGTATGAATGCATTTGTATAGATACACATTGTTTACTTGTGCATTTGGTTGAGCCTGCATTCCTACAATCAGAGCTAACGCAGTGTCTCTAATTTCTGGTATGTGAAAGGATGTGCCTTTTAGATGAAGGAGGAGGGAGAATGCCCTTTCTGAAATGGTAAATGAGTCCAAGACTGATCTGTTGAAGCATTTGGACAATCCTACTTCAAATTGTGAAATGATTCTCCTTCAATTTGTGAACTTCTTATGATTAACTTGATACAATTTTCTCATTTCCAAACCCTTATAATGTGCGTGTCTAAGATTACTGTGCTTACGTATTCGCTTTGCTTCATACTGTTTCTGACTCTAAATCCTTTCATAAGCTTATTATATCACTATGTTCCCGAGCCTGATCTTTAAATATATTCACTTCCTTTCTCGCAGAAAGGTAATTGAACATATCTGTCTGCTCCAAGGGAAGGAGGATTTGTCCGAAGAGCAAGAGAAAAATATGCTAGATTACCTTTATACAACCCAATATCAAATGCGAGGCATTATTGCAATATCATTAGGTAATAGTTAGTACCTCTCATGTAAAGATATCTCTACTAAGCAATTTTTCTTAATAGGATACTTAGTATGAAACCCAACTGGAAAAACAAATAGGAGTAAGTTTTGAAAGATACTCTAGAGCAGTAGATCTGATGTCGGGAGGGTGAAGGAAAGAGTAGTGAAAGGACTGAAGCTCTTATTGTTAGATCAGAGACAAATAGGTCAAAGATTCCTGTGATTTTTTATTTATTTATTTATAAATAGAATCATGTTTTGGTTTTTATATCCTACTTTTCTACTTTGAGTCACATAAGGAGATGCTAAGATACTAGTACATTCTAAAATTTATTAATGGTGAACCGTGAACGTGGCATGTACATGTTGCTAGGCCAGGTCACTACATAAGTTTAATGTTTTTTAGGTGTCCTCCTATTTACTCCTGCAGGGCGTGTTTCTGGTTGGAATTCTGTAAACTGCACTCACGCTGTGTACGTGCGCTTCCAAAGAAAGGAGGATCTAGCTATGTTCTATGAGAACCATTTCTACACGGGAGTTATTAAGGACCATGTGATGCCTTATTGCCATGTATGACCTAAGTACCTAACAAGTAAACACCATCATCCTCTGTTGCTTGACTTGCTTCCAAAATTTTTTCTTCATTCAATCTGCTGAACTTAACTTTCCTCGATATCTATTTCTGAAACTCCCATTTACTACGTATTGACAGGGCATTAAAAGTGTTGATTTTGAGTCTGAAGTTGAGGATGATATTCTGCCAATATTTCGGAAAGGCGAGGTTCAAATATGCACTCCTGTATCCTTCAGTTATTTGTCTAGTTCCTAGCTTGCTTTTAGGAGTTATGATAGGGACTCCAAAATACTGAGTGAGGGATCTGACTTGCCTTTGAATTGCAGGAGTTCAACTTTGGTTTGGAGCTTCTGCTCCTGATAGAATTTGTTGAAAGTTCATTGGATGGAGCTGCAGAGGATGCTCTGATTGCTCTGGATAAGCTCACTATGGAGTTCCCTTCCCTGATTGTTCAGACCACTAATGGTGTTCTCCAAATGTCTCCCTTTTTTGTGATATGTAAATTTTGGCAATGCAACACCCTCCATGATATCCCTGAACTCCTCACGTTCTCGTTCTCTAATTTGTCAGGTTCAAATTTCAATAGACATAGTGAGGAATATACTCATGGGGTAGTAATACGGTTTCGATCATGTGAGTTCCTGCTCTCCAATTTTGACATGAAATTACATTATATCAGCAACTGACCATCCCGGGTACATCTTTCAGCCGAGGCCTTTGAGATATTCATGAACAGCTCAGAATATATCGATGTAAGTATCTGAATCTTGGATGCATTCCATATCCACAACCCCATAAGCAATTTCATTTTGATTTTTTGGGTGGAATTCACAATATTTTATTGCAAAAACTTATTAGTGTTATCCTGGATTTTCCCATGTTTGTCAAATTGGAGAGCAGATGTGGAGATCAAAATTTCAACCAATCATCCGGAAGGCTATACCCATCAGTTATTCTGTTGATCCAGTTGGCACAGAGCTTATGTAGCAAGGTTTGCATCCCTTACCCTCTACTCCTTTGAAATCAAATCACATTAGAGGAACTCTATCATACCAGCGTGTTTTCGTAATGGCATTTTGTGCAGTTTGGAAGGCAGCTGACAGGAAGAATATTAATGTTGGAGGAGGGTGAAGAAATGGGAATCATTTTGGTCCAAACATGCGTGCTTAGAGAGTTGATTTTTTGTTCATCTTCCCTTTGATATGATGTGGATAATATACACATTGTTGATCCGACAAGGTTTGTTGCATGACTTTGAACCAACAAATAAATAAATGCCGCCAGAAGACCCTGGCCATTTATCTACTTAAAAAATTCCGGAATTTTAGAAATTTACTTTTAAAATTCATTATCTGTCATTATCATTACAAGAAGAGGCCAGCAGGCCATTTAGGCATTCACAAGTACTGCTCGCACGAACAGTTCAATTGATTCTTGAGTGGTAGATTGTAAGCAATGACAGATGATTGAGCTCTAGTAGCCACAACATGAGAGTTACATCTAATATGGTGGACTCTTTGTGGGTAACCAAACACTGATCCTCTCATCTATTGGACTGTTAAGTCACTGTGATTTGTCTCTCTACTATCTTGTCGGGCCGAAGTGTGGGCTAGACATTCACACATACACAAGTAATCAGTCAAAGCACATGGAAGCTATGGAACGACAATTTTAACCCCTTTCATACACTCAGTAGGTATTACAAATACCCCTGCCCCATTACAAAGAACAACCTACCTACCTAGCAAAAGTTGAAGCTTGTGATCCAAAAAAACATGGCTGCTCCAAGGAATACCTTTACTCTAAAGGTTGGCTCCAACAGCCTGTCTGCCGCAATCAACATCAAGAAGACGGTGGAGAGAATGGAGGGGGTGGAAAAAGTTGAAGCAAATCCCCAGCAGAGAAGGGTGGTGATCACCGGAACTGTACGCCCCGACAAAGTTATAGCCACGCTTCACAACAATCTTGGGATAGAAGCAGAGCTTTCGCCCTCCACATCCATAAGACCTCCACAGCCGGCGAGTACGTTTACTCTAAAAGTTGGCTCCAACAGCCTGTTAGCCGCAATCAACATCAAGAAGACGGTGGAGAGAATGGAGGGGGTGGAAAAAGTTGAAGCAAATCCCCAGCAGAGAAGGGTGGTGATTACTGGAACTGTACGCCCCGACGAAGTTATAGCCACGCTTCACAACAATCTTGGGATAAAAGCAGAGCTTGAGCTTTCGCCCCCCACATCCATAAGACCTCCGGCGGCGGCGGCTGTTCCCAGGGATGGTTGTGAGATTGTTGTTGGGCAATCGTCAAACGCCGTTAATCCCCTGCTGGGTGATGTGAACAAGGTGGCGCAAGACGTTGGACAACTGCGCAGGATGGTTCCAGGGCTGGCAGGTGTGAAGATTAGTAATCAGATTGTGAGTAATAGCATAGAGTTCAGATTCAACTCGAACTAACTAGCTAGCTAGCTAGAATGAATGATCCATGAATCCATCCATCTAGATCTACTTGCTTGGGGGTCTGCTTCGTTGCAATGAGTGCTTTTTCCACTCTTTCGTTTTATTTTTGTAATGCTCTGAAAGTCTGAATTTTTATTTTAATTCTTCAAAAAAATATGTAACGTCAGTTTGCATGCAGCGTATACCTGCTATGCTATACTAGATGTGTCATGCATTTTCTATTTGGTCAATAATAATTTGGAATATTATTCATGTAAATTCTCAAAGTAATTTAAATTTCGATTTTAGATTTATAAGTGACAGTCCACTTTTAGTTTAGTATATCCCATTTGGTCCTAGTATTATTGTGGTATGATCATTTTTTGTTTTTTTTTGTCAACAAAATTGTTGAAATGTCTTTAAATATAAGGGCATTTCATTTTTTTTTTAAATAGAAAGTAGATTGACTTGTTATATTTATTTATTTTTTTGAAAAAAAATCCTAATTGAAGAATGAAATGCTCTTGTATTTAATGGCATTTAAACGGTTTTGTTGATAGAGATTTAAAAAAAAAAAAAAAAAAAAAAAAAAAAAAAAGGTCATGCAACACTGGACTCGTTTGGTTCGCTGGAAAATATTTGAAGGGAAATGGAATTGAAATTCCAAGAAAATAGATTCCATTGTTTGGTTGGTGGAAAAGAAATTACTGAGAATATGAATTCCATTGTTTGGTTGAGTTTGGAATGGTAAGGAATAATGTGTATAATGACAAATATAACCCTACACAACAATAATAATAATAAGAGTAATTAATAAAGAATGGTGAGGGTAAAATTGACATATTAGTTTTCCATGGAAAACAAAATACCTAACAAAAGCTAGGAATTTGTTTTCCTTATACTCAAGGAAAACTTTTTCCAATGGAAAATGTTTTCCACCCAACCAAACAACATAAAACATCATTTTTCTTCACTTCTAGAAAAACATTTTCCATGGAAAATGTTTTCCATCCAACCAAACACCCCCTAGCTAATATTAGGATCATGTTTTGAAAAAAAAAAAAAAAAAAAAAAAAGGTTAAAAGTGAACTGTCAGAGACCAAAATCATAATCAACTTTAAGGGGTCTTTGGTTAACGAAATTTTGAATTACCCCAGGTGATAGGATTATCTCCAGGAAGGTAATGTGGGATTACCTTATGTGTTTGGTTTGGATTGTAGAATATAATATTACTTTGTTTGGTTAAGGATTATATATTAAATTATATGGATCAATTTACTATAATATCCTCAATAATATATATATATATATATATATATATATATATATAGAAAAGCGCTCATATGTGGTCATGTCATTAGGTGTGGTCGTGTGGTCGTATCTGGGTCGTTGAATCAGTTTAATCTAAAGGCAGTGGTAATTCTGAGAATTTTCGCGTGTTTTAGTAAGTGGGGGTGTTATGGTAATTACAGTGACCATTTATAGCGGGCGGGTTCCAGAATACACCAACAGTGTTGACAACATACACCAATAGTGTAATAAAACACACCACAGTGAAACACACCAATGGTGTATTCCCGTGTTATGCTAATTACAATGGCCATTTATAGCGGTCGGGTTCCAGAATACACCAACAGTGTTGACAACATGCACCAATAGTGTAATAAAACACACAACAATGTGATTTTCCCTATTCCGGTGTTTTATGACAAGTTTACCCTTACAGTTCTCTGGGTAGGAGAATGTGCGCGAAAATACTGGAAAAAATCTTGATTAATATGAATCATTAGATCTATCTAATCTAATGGTCTATAATTGACCATATGACCACACCTAACAACATGACCACATGTGAGCGCTCCTCTCTCTCTCTCTATATATATATATATATATATATATATATATATATATATATATATATATATATATTGTTTGTTTATATGTGTGTATATTTATTTATTTATCTATTTATATGTATGAATGTATACCAATACTTAAATATTAAAAAAATAAATATAATATACATACATGTATATTTGATTATATAAACATATATTATTATTATTATTATTATTATTATTATTATTATTATTATTATTATTATTATTATTATTATACAAGGATTAGTTAACAAGGGCAAAGTTGGAATAATTCAAGGTAATCGATCTAAAATTACCTACGAAAATGAGGTAATCACATTACTGCCACATACGTTGAGGTAAATATAACATTACTAGGTAATTTTATAACTTGAACGAACAAGGTAATATAACATTACCAAGCTCAGATTACCGGAACCAAACACCCCCTAAATTCAGAATGAAACTATATGTTCACAAACTCAAAGATTAATATTTAAAAATCAGATATTATATGTTCAAAAATTAAAAGCTTAATGTTCAAAACACGATGTTATATATTTAGAAACTTGCCTAGACAGTATGCTGGATTATTTAACTCCTCTACTATGTCTATTATTGTATAGTTTGTGAAGGTTGCTGTAAACTTTGACTCCTCTATATATAGGCCATAGGAGGACATTTTGCGTCATTGCATACGCTAATAATAGGGGAGTGGGTTACATTTGATGATGATCATTGAGACAGCTTTTTTACGAGGAATTGAATTAGCAGTTACCAGGTAAATAGGTAATTAAATGTGACATGCTAGCTTGACATTGAAAAAGTCATCCATAATTAAGAATAATGTAATTAATGAAATAGTAGTCATTGGTTGCTGCAGAATAATTGTTGTTGTCGTGGCAGTATCACACCTAGGATAAGATAGCGGTTTATGAGGATGTTCTTATCCTTGCAATACTCTCTCACTTTCAAAAGTGAATCCTAATTTCATATCACCAAATTAGCAATTGTTTTATTATTTTTCATACATCTCTGTAATACTCTCTCACTTTTAAAAGAAAGTCTCACTTTCACATCACATCAAAGCAAAATAAATAAAAAATCAAAATCAAAATGAAAAAAAAATAATAATAATAAAAGTACAGATTAGCATAAATAGAGTACACCAACATGACAGGAGGAAACAGTTACACCAAACCAAGATAATAGACTAACCACAACTATGGCTTAACATGCTAATCATGTCATCATTTAAAAATAAAAAATTGCTTTCAATGTGTCATGTCATCTTGCAAGGAGAAAATTTAATTTTCTGGGATGAGGTTAATTAGTCTGTCCACTCATTTAGAATAGTAACAGAGGTATCATCATACTACATAATAATTAACATATTGTTTTGTATGCCAAAAATAAAAACGCAAAAAAGACCCTTGGGATTTTTCTACTCTAAAATTAAACATTATATATATACTGGATTATATTATTAGAAATTTCCTCTTAACTAACATTCATTCCTTGTCATTATCATTACATCAGGGGGCCGTTAGGGGATTCCTTGTCATTACCATCATCATCGATCCACACATATAATAAACAATCAAAGCACAAGGGATCGGAAGACAATTTCACCCGTTCATACCCGCCATCAAATTAAACTTCCAAGAAATTAGTCGGCATGGAAACTACTAATTAAAGGCAATCCAACTTCAATAATTCGCAGAATTGAAGTTAACCTCAAACCCACCTATAAATAATACCCCCCCATAGCCACTACTATACTATATATATACACTACGTAACAAATTAAAAGCTACAAAAACCTATTAGCTATATATCCATGGCTGCCGCAGCTCCCAGCAGGAAGAATACGTTTGTTCTAAAGGTGGGCATCCACTGCGATGGGTGCGCACGAGACATCAAGAAGAATGTGGAGAAAATGGAGGGAGTGGACACCGTTAAAGTAGACGCAGAGAAGCAAACGGCGGTCATCACCGGAACCCTACACCCCGACAAAGTTATAGCCATGCTTCACAACAAACTCAGGAAAAAAGCAGAGCTTCTTCCCAACAAACCCTCGTCGTCGCAGGTGGTTGTTCCCAGGAACCCCAGAAAAGGTGGTTCTCTGGTTGGGCCCAATAATAATCTGGTGGGCATGGGTGATCCCAACAAGGTGGCGCAGGCCGTAGGAGAGCTGCGTAGGATGATTCCTGGGCTCACAGGCGTGAAGATTAGTAATCAGATTGTGACTAATGCCATAGAGTTCAGATTCAATTCCACCTAGCTGGAAACAAATTAAATATTCATATGCATGGTGATGATATATGGTGTGTTGAAAGAAAGGTTTCAAGGTTTAGTCGTCTACAGTCGATCTACAAGTAATAATGTCAGTTTAATTTGCATGTATACCTATTATACCTAGTACATTAGTACTAGTACAAGATAATTAATGTACTGTGTGTCTATGTCAGCGTTAATATAATTTCCATGCATTTTTGTTATATTTGGAATAATTCTTGATTTCAGGTAACTTGCTGATTGAGTTGGCAGTAGTTTGTGTATAATTTGCTTGATAATATATTGTCTTATGTGTTAATTAAATATATACCAATGTAGCCAAAGGACTTGTGGTTAGGCATCCGAATCGTGCACTGTTGAACCGGAACCGGAACTGGAATCGAACTGTCTGTACGGTTCTGATTTCGGTTCCCAACCGGAACCATATTGGTTCCAGTTAAGGTTCGAGAAGAAAAGGAACCGAAACCGGCGGTTCCGGTTCTAAACTGGAAAAAATTAAAAATTATAGGTTTTTTTTATATCTTTTTTTAAAAAAATAAATCCGGTTAGAACTTAGAACCGACGGTTCTGAACCGGAACTGGAATCGGAACCTTACTATAAGGTTCCAGTTCTGGTTTTTCTATTTGCGGAACCAAAATCGGCGGTTCCTAACCGGAACCGAAACCGCGGTCACCCCTACTTGTGGTCGAGTTGCATAGCTGTAGCCCCTTAAATGAGAGGTCGCAGGTTTGAATTCCAATCAAGACGGGTTCTGTTTGGTCGAGTTTATTTAGGAGTTTATAGCTTATTTTAAGTTATTAATAAGTTATAAGCGGTAATGTTTTCAAAATAAGCTAGTAGCTTAAAATAAGAGCTTATTTTGATTATTGAAGAGAGCTTTATTAGAGATAGGGAGGTAGGTAGCTAGAGAAATTCCAGGCTTGTAACATACAATTTCCTTAAAGATTGACACCGGATCAGAGGGGGTGCACGTCCACATTTTCTTCAATTTTAGCTTCCAAGTTTTTCCTTAACGCCGATATGTTTGAGAATAAATTTTTATTCACTTTTAATTTCAATTATTTTGAACATATAACTAAATAACTTTTTACTAAGAATCTAAAGACATTTTGGACCTAAAAAATAACAAGTGGACCTTATTGTAATTAATGTGGTCTCAAATGGCCACTCCAATAAAAGGCTTAGATGGAATTAGTTATAAATTATTTCGGCAAAGAGTTAATTCTTAAAATGGTCCTCCAACTATAGTCTTTTGTCACATATATAAATAGTCAACGTTGGCAAGCTTAACAGCCCAAAATTCCCCTCCCATACATATCAATATTATTTATCATGTTACTCCATTGGAATCTATTTAACATTTTCCCATATTTTATTTAATAAGCATTACCAAACTTTGGTAACCCTAGCCATAGAATAATGATTGATTTTCATCCCTATATGATATCATATATTTCAATTGCTTATCACCATAAATATATAGCCCAAATTCTTACAATTTTTAATCATTAACTAAATCCAACTATTTCAGTTAAAAACATTTAATTAAAATTTATTGTTTTAATCGGTACGGTTAACTAAATTTTTATTATATTTTCCATTCTCCTAATTGAATCCTTGTAAGATTAGATCTGATTTTATTTCCGATGATATCCCATATAATATATTAATTAAAAATAAATATAAAAGATATAAATTTAAAACACAAGAAAGTTTATTTAAAAGGTTAATTAGTAAACTTCATTAATAACGAACCTGCAGGCTTGAAAATGCTTACGTACAAATACATGGGGTAGCATGACGACGTTGGGCCAACAAATAAAGTTAATAAAATTAGGAATGTCCCAAGAAATTGCCATTATTCTTATTGCTACAAGTTATGTTGACAAAATTATATTGTTTTTATATGCGAAGAATTAATTAAGATTGGAAAAATTGTGGCTAAGTGGGTGATAAAAAACCATGATTCTCATATAAAAAAAGTCATGAATTTGCCATTTGCTAACACACCCTTTTGATCGAGTTCATTGCATAAGATTTTTTCAGTACAATTTACACCTTCTGTGTAATCTCCTCTCTGATAAATATTTACAACTAAATCAAAAATTATATCTAGTAATGAAAATGTAACTTTATTTCCTTATACTATTATAACAGTCGATGCAACTTCTTTATACTTGCATAATAATCACCGCTACATTTTGAGTGACAGGATTGTGTACTTTAAATACAAAATATTATAAAGAAAACTTTATTCGATAGGCTTGTTCAAAAGAATGTTGGCAATAATCAAATTCTTAACTTTCTGGTACAAGAATTATGATTGAATGACTATAAAAATCCGCAATTACTACTCGTGTGCATTATATTGTGCAAATTTCGTCTTGTGGTTCTAATCGACAAAGAATCACAATGAGATAAATTATCTTAAATTGTTATAGCTTACCAGCTCAAACGAATCAAGAAGGCCAATTAATAGGCTGCTTCCACTAAAAATTAAATTTATAATTTTGTGATTATCAACTTAATAAACTAACTAATTTGGTCCCAGTCTTAACATTGTTATTGTTACTTGCGCAAGACGTTGAGGTTTGTCTGATCTAACTTCCTAAGTAGATAGGGTCAATGTTTGTGGCCAATAAATGCGTTGGTTGTCACCTTAAACAGCTTAAAGCTATATGGTCGGTGCAATGTTGAAAAAATGGAATTATATTGGTTAGGACATCCTTTTCAACTCGTCTTTGGCAACAAATTTCCACAGCCAATAAAACATATATATATATATATATATAATATATATATATATATATATATATATATATTACAAATTGTAATACCCAAGTTGGCCTGCAGCCTGCATTAGCTTGCTAAGTTGCTAATAAACAAGTCCACAAGTGGTTGTGTTTGGCGTCAGAGTTCAGCCCCTGCTCAATTCAAGACGTGGTGTTGTGATTTACTAAGAATGGATATGATAGGGATTATACCCCAAGTGTACGGGTCATCCTGCCCGGTCAACCGTTCATCTCCGCTCGTACTTGCTGGTGTGGATCATCCAGCCCGGTCAACTTCTCGCCCTAGCTTTGCCCGGCCGCCCGGTCGTCTACCTTAGTGCCCGCCGCACAAGCGTCCCCTCCAGTGTTAGTCGTTGACCGGGCAGGATGACCTGTACACGCTGGGTATAATCCCTATCAGCGTTGTGCTTCATTAGACTTGAGAAAGTATGTTTGAACAAATAAAAACAAAAATTAATGATTTTTACTTGAAGAAGGAACATCTAGCAAAACTTAAATAAAATAGAGAAGAGGCTTTAGAAAAGAATTATGTTGGCGAAATTAGTTTTGATTAATTAAAATTCGTGATGGCAAACTTTGACAGTTACCCTATAAAGAAAATTTTAGTTCTGCCCCAATTAACTATGAATTATACTCGAAAATTCACCAAATATAATATATACTAAAACAATTATGCATTGATATAGTTTTATGCTTATATATACCTTTCACCTTGCATAATGATGATGATGATGATGAAGGAAAATGTATAATAGGTGCTTACGATTAAAATACAGAATTGTCTAAACCCTGAGTATTTATTTAAAGAGAATCATTTACATTTGAAACTCCAGTAAGTTTCATGTGACTTTCTCAAGAAAAGGTGGTTTTCAGTTATTATAAGGTGAAGACTTTAAGATTATTTTAAGGCTGACTGACTCATAAGATGGTAGAATTGGTCTATGATATGGCATTGCCGTGTCTGAAATGCCCAAATTAACACCTTATAAATTTACCAAAACAACTGTGTAAGAATACCCAGAAAAGCTTACAATCATAGTTCTTGAAATTAACATCCCAGAAATGTCTCTCTCCTTGGTTGCTCCAACAACCTTTGCTCTGAAGCTAAAGATCCACTGCAATGGTTGCGAAAAGAAGCTGAAACAAATGCTATTGAAAGTGCAGGGAGTGCATTCCATTCGGGTGGATGCAAAGCAGGGGCATGTTCTCATTACTGGCACGGTTGATCCTCCCACGATTCTCACGATGCTGGAGAAGCTAGGGAGAAAAGCCGAGCTGCTGTGGGAGCAAGGCTCTCCCGCCCCTTCTCCCGCTTCTCCCACCACTGCCACGGAACGTGGTAAAGATGTGGAGATTGTAATGCAATCGTTGAAGGGGATCAAGCCCCTGAGTTATCAGGACATCATGGAAAACCCGGAACAGTTGTCTGAAATTCCAGGGTTGCAAACTGTGGAGGTGACCAGCACAATAAAGTTCAGTTTCAAGAATGGTAGTGTTACAGAGATTACCAGTACCCGGGATGACATGCAGTCTGTGCAGAGATCTAAACCCCTCGTGCTCCCTCCTCCTAGCCCGGGCCACCACCATGGCCTTTGTGCTGCTTCGTCTTCGTGTTCTGGTGGCCATGCAGCGAGCAGCACTCATGGCCATCACGCTTGTTGCTTTCATGGCAATGGATATTTCGGGAGTTGTGGTATGAACAGCCCGAATAACTACTGTCACTGGCAGTCACCGGGTGTAGCCTTTGGGGGCAATGCTTCTCCACTAGGACCAGTCCCGCCATGGGAATTTGGTTTTCCATCAGCACCTCCCGTGCCATCTGATTATGAACCATCAGCACGCCCAGCACCCTCACCGCCTCCACAGCCAGCACCGGTCAGGGCTAATACATACCCCAGCATGTTTAGCGATGAAAATCCTAACAGCTGCACAATTATGTAAACCAGTGAGGCATGTTTGTGTGTGCACTATGTATCTTTCCTATTCAGCACGCTATGGTTTCTTTTATAAAGAGTACATTTTGTCCATATAGTGTAGTGGTATTTTTATTTTTAGTAAACAATGAAGTAGGAAAGACATCTATCTCTATCCACAGCATAAACTATATATGAGAGATAATATCAGTAATTGCAAACCGAAAGAAGAACAAGTCCATATGTAACAAGTACGCTATTATGCCAAGAAATGACTTGTGTCAACATGAGTGTCGTCGGAAAAGCTGCAACCAATTTCATCAAAATGCCTAATTTAACATGATTCCACATGAGCTCGATTCGAAAGTTGGACTTGACTGACAAATTAGTTGAAATTGTGTTATAAACTTGAAACTATCACCAGCGTCTTATTATGAATGCTAAGATATATACACAGATAGAGCATTGTACAATTGTACCAGAAGCTGCATCAAAACACAAAAATATGCTAGAATGCTAACCATAACAATGATGAAAAAAGCCAGGAGCTCGTGGGCAAGGACATAGGATCGAGCCTCGACAGCCGCAGTGTGGAGTTACACTCAATGTGGTGGGCTCCTTGTGAGCACCAGACACTAGTCCTCCCATCTAATGGGCCGCTGAGTTACTATGATTTATCATTCTACTATCGCGTCAAAGTTGGAGTGTGGGGCCCTTGGGGCGAGGGAATTTCGCCTTTTGTGGGCAACCCAGGAGCCTGAGTATATTGAGGCATGCATCTATGTTAATGATGGCAATAAATACTCAATTAGGATCAATAATCATTTATCTGTCATCTTCTTTTATGTATTCATATTTTGTCATTCTCTCTCCTAACTAAGATACAAGTATACAACCCCATTACTTCAAATCTCTCCCACAATCGAGTCAAATGGAACAACAATCTGCATATACAACGTAAATTAACAAAGGGGAGATAAGGCAAAGAGAACATACATATGTGCATTCTTCCCCACAAATTCAAAAGAAGCAGTTTATTTATCAGATAAAAGAAACTGTTATCAAAACAATCAATTTGGTTGTGCAGTCTGTAAAATCGTTAATAGAAAACCCAAAACAAATCGACAATCGGGCTAACTTGATCCCAGTACTGAAAAAGCTGTAAACTTCACACTAATTCCATACCCTTCCCATTTCTATTCACCATAGAAAATCCAGAAGCAAAAAATGTAAAAATGGCATCTTTGCGTGGAATTCCCAGCAAGAAATATAAACAACAAAAAAAGTATAGGCATAGAGATGCAGGGAGATACCCGATTGACTTCTCTTTCCGATGGTTGTTGCATTTCTTTAACAGCAATAACTGCAGATTTCTCCTCCATTTTCACTCACGGATGCCGGCCTACACCAACTATTCCTTCTTTTTTCTTTCTTTCTTTTCTTTATTTATTTTTGAGAGTTGATAAGGCAAGGCTGACATTATAGGAGTAGCTCAGAAGTAATTTGTGTCTTCATAATTCCAGCCAAGATAATAACTGTAATCTTTTTTAAAATTCTATTTATGTTATAAAATATGGTTGATTGTGGATATTATGGCTTGATTCTGTCAAATATATGTCTACCATTATTATCTTCCATTATAAATATAATATACCATTATTACCTTTATTTTACAAATATAATATCTAAAAGAATTGAATAATTGAAATCTTTTTCTCTCCTTCTATGTAGTGTTTTGAGCAAGCATTAGTAACTTTCTTAATTTATCTTGTGATTCTTGAAAGAACGTAATAACTATATGTTAACTAGCTTGATTGGTACGAATGACCGTACAGTTAAGTCCAGTATTGTGCTACTCTTTTGGACATTTCTCAATTCTCATATCTATATATACTTATAGTTTAATCTGCAGTCCTGATATGGGATTGCAAAAAGCACAGAGGCTACATGACAAAACTCCGGTATGACGTATGCAAACCAGCCGTCAAATTAATCGCGCACGGCACACCCATCAACCTCTTGTTCTTGGATGCATATTGCCGTCCCAATATTCTATTCTCCCATTCATGAAAGCCTATTCCCATTTGTTTTTTCATCACTAATCAAGTTAAATATATCCATATTTCCCTCTTTTTCTTCTCCATACTCTGCCATCGTTTTCGCGCAGAACGCACTGCTCTCTCTCTCTCAAACTGTCAGAAGCACTGCAATTCTTGAAAGCTGGGTCGTCCCAAGAACAGATACGGGATGAAGAGGCACCGGAATGGGGAGATTTGGGACTTCGAGAGCGAAATGCAGGGAGGAGTGGCTCCCGGAGACGATGGTGGTGGTGGGTATGGGTTTGGAGAAGTGATACTGGGATTGGACGGCGGGACTACTTCCACCGTCTGCGTTTGTATGCCTCTCCATCCTTCTCCGACCACTATTTCCCGATCCGACCCCCCTCCCATCCTCTCCCGCGCCGTCGCCGGCTGCTCCAACCACAATAGTGTCGGCGGTACTTCTTCTTCTCCACTGTCAAAAGTGAATTTTTAATGTTTAATTGTTAGTACCCATAATCTGGATTGTTGTTATAATTCATTGTTGTAGAGAAGGGTTATCATTAAATTGATAAAGACACAATCTTGCTTTCTTTTAAATTGATAAAGACACAATCTTGCCCCAGAATTAAGCGTCTACATGTTTTTTATGTTCATAGAAATGGCTGCTCGAGAGACCTTAGAACAAGTTATGGCAGATGCTCTTTCAAAGGCAGGATCAACCCGGTCTGCTGTTCGAGCCGTTTGTTTAGCTGTATCGGGTGTTAACCATCAAACAGATCAGGAAAGGATAGTGGAGTGGCTAAGGTGTGATCTCTGAATTCCATTTAGTTTACTTAGAATGTAACAATACACTAATCTGATTGTGTTTTCTTTGTCTTTATATGTTAGGGAAATATTCCCCAAAAACGTTAGTTTATTCGTTGAGAATGATGCTGTAGCAGCTCTAGCAAGTGGAACGATGGGGAAGCTTCACGGGTGTGTCCTAATTGCGGGTACAGGAACGATTGCATACGGGTTTACAGAAGACGGGAGGGATGCCCGAGCTGCTGGTGCAGGACCGATTTTAGGTGATTGGGGAAGGTACACGCTTTTTAGGTGTCACACCTTATAAGTTCATGCTCGTGTTTGTATTGTTGAGCATATAATATAACATAAACATAAATGTGCAATCCAATTATCAGCTTATACTTTTAGTTGAGATGTAGCACATGCTTCAATTTGGTATCAGAGCTATGCCAAAGGTAAAAAAGAGACTACGGTCCACGTGGCGTCTTTTAGTTGAGATGGAACACATGCTTCAATTTGTATTTCATTTTTGGTTTTTAAGTTAAACTGAAGCGTTTAGTATGATCACTTGTAGTGGATATGGTATAGCCGCACAGGCATTGTCTGCTATTATCCGAGAGCATGATGGTCGAGGCCCATACACTGCTCTTACATCGAGTATTTTAAAGGCGTTAGGCCTTTCTTCGGCTGATGAACTTATTGGGTATTTGCTGAAAACTTGAATCTTTGAAGTGTTTGCGCTCTATGCTAGTCTGAAACTTGTGAACCATTGATAGGTGGACGTACTCGGATCCATCTTGGGCCCGGATTGCAGCTCTCGTTCCATTTGTCGTGTCATGTGCCGAGGGAGGTGATCAAGTAGCAAATAACATTTTGCAAGATTCCGTTCAAGAATTGGCCTCGAGTGTCAAAGCTGTTGTTCGAAGATTAGGCCTATGTGGTAAAGGTGCGGAATTAATATTGCCATTGTTACCTTCTATAATCATTTGGAGGTCGATTAGCTAACCTGTGCATTTGCGTAGATGGAAATGACGAGTTTCCCCTTGTCATGGTTGGCGGTGTTCTTGAAGCCAACAAGAGATGGGATATCGGGCAAGAAGTAATAAAGTGTATATCTAAGGACTTCCCCGGGGCCTTCCCAATTCGCCCCACGGTAAGTGCTTTAACGTTATATCGCATTACTTAATACGTTGTAGGAAGAAGCAAAAACCGGAGAGGGATAATAGTTACTGATACCAGGTGGAGCCTGCTGTTGGTGCTGCTTTGCTTGCTTGGAACTATTCGGTCCGACATTCTCAGAAGATGTTTGCAGAGGTTCAGCAGATACGTTAACGTTAAAACGAGGTATCTGGGGAAAAATTCATCAGCTGTATAGATAGATACAAGTACAAATGAAACCGAGAAAGGAACCCCTTTTTTGCTCCTTTTAAGATTACCAAAATTTAAGGATTGCTGGCCGGAATCTATGTCGTATTGTAATATTCTGTTATGTATTTTTTGCCAGATTACATAATAAAAAAAAACAGGTAATATGTGATTGTTAATGCAACTGTAATGTCGAGGTTTAGGATCAAGCTTTCTCCGATACCCGATTCTCAACTGTTTGACATAGAATATATGATCACTTGACAATTAGCATTCGAAAAATTTCATTTTCACAACCAAAATGAATGCCAAATTTACAATATAATACCACAACCTCATGTTTTGATGCTCACTACACAGTAACAAGCTCATCTGACCTGTCATCATTGTAGTTGCTATAACCGTCGTCAGTTACTTCTCCGTCTTCTTCATTGTCATCATCGTTGTCAGTGAAGCCGGGGAAACCTTTGACTACCTTTGTCCCGTTTATGTTTCCCACGAGCTCGTTAGCTTTTGTCTGCTCTTCTGTTGTTTTCGCGAGAGACAAGAGAATGTTGTTTGCTTTCTGGTCGGGGGGAACGCCACAAGACACCATCTCGTTGAACCAAGCAACAGCGCTCCCGAAATCCTTGTTCCTACCGTACGCATCCATGATCGTGGTGAAGATAGTTTGGTTGGCCTCGATACCAGACACCCGCATTTCTTCGTATTTCTCCATCATTTTCTCGAGATTGTTCGCCTTTGCATATCCTTTGATAAGTGTCCCGTATGTCACTACACTGGGTTCAAATCCGTCTTGTTTTATTCTTCTAAAGAATTTCTCGGCACCTTCCATATCCGGAGCATTTACATATGCAGATAGCATAGTCGTGTAGGAGCAAAGATCAGGACTACACCTGAATTTCGAGGGAGAAACATTACAAACGCTATAAACTTGAAAAAAGCAAGGAGAAAGTAGTGAAAAGTAGAAGGCGATAGCCAATGTTGAAAAAATCGCTAGGTGCCTGGGGACCGCCTAGGCACGATTTTTGCAACACTGGCAATAGCGAAGCATTGTGAAAATGCAAAACGCGTGTATAATAATTAGTATGATAACAAAGAGTCACCTGTCCCTTCGCATGCTTTTAAAGACAACCCGAGCTTGTTCCACCATTCCCGAGATTGCAAATGCATCTAGTAAGATGTTGTAAGCTTTCTGTGTTGGCCTGAAAACAGAAACATACTAACGTTTTACCTTCTTCACGGTTGACAACAAGAAAGAGAAACAGAATCGTAGTTCAAAAGATCTCTAAAAACACAACAAAGTTAGACACCAGAAAGACAAGTCAGCATTTAGTTCCTCAATTTTCACAAAACTATTTACCTAACACCAGCATCGAGCATTTCCTCGAAAACCGATAATGCTTCTTCTTCTCTTCTAGCCTTTCCATATGCATTAATCAGTAGGGCATAGCTTACAACGTCGGGCCGAAGACCAGCTCTTTGCATCTGAAATCGAGCATTTACTTCAAATGCTGGTAAAGCCATTGTGTATGTACAGGAAATAATAGAAACGAATGAAATAGCGTTTTAGGGGAGGGGCCTAAATGACATATACTTTCGAATTTACCTGATCATAGATTTTTGCAACCTCCTTATAGTCGGTCCCAAATGACATCAAGCTATTATATGTAACTGTATTTTGAGGAACCCCTCGCTCAGCCATTAGTGCAAATAGCTTATGAGCTTTCTTATAGTCTCGTGCCTTCTTGTACATGTAGATCATCATGTGAAACATTTTCTGGTCGGGTTTTAGGGGAGGAGCCTCCATGTTTAAAAGAGTTTCGAACACTTCTTCAGCTTCTTCGTACTTGTCACCCTGAAATAGCTTCTTGTTTATACTAAAACCATATATGATAATATGACCCCATTTTATAGAAACAAAATAATTCATATATGATAATATGATCCCATAATATGGGGCAAACGGCCAACCCCAACCAAGTTAGTCAGACTGTTGGCTTGGTAACCAGTAACCACAAGGATCCAAGTTCGACTCCCAGTGAGAGCGGCCTAGTGGCCTCCTTGTGGCCCTTTGCCTGCTAGAGTCACAAGACGGGGTTTACCTAGTGTAAGTCTAAATATGTAGAGACAGTAAATAACTACCTCAACAAAGGTTTTGAGGATTATTTGATACGTAATCGCAGAAGGTTCAGGACCCGAAGATTGCATTCTTCGAAATATTGCTTCTGCTTTGCTGTATTGGCCTCCCCTTCCATACGCTTCAATAAGAGCAGTGTGAGATATCACACTTTGTGGATATCCCCTCTTAGTCATGTAGCTTAAAACCCTTTCGGCTTTATTGAAGTCCCCTTGTTTCCCATAAGCCGTGATAAGCATTAGAAAGTCCATTTCATTAAAGTTCCACCAATGTTGCGTCCGAAGCCATTCAAGAATCTAAAGAGACGACTCGTTATTCTAACTGAAACCCTCCGTGAAGGCAAAATACCAAATTACTAAAAATAGAGCATGAACAAACACATTTGTATACCTCACCAACGAGATTCCACTTCTTGAGCTGCTTGAATCTAACCAAGGTCCCGAGAACCATGTCCCTGGGAAGTGCCTGATTCTTGACCCTATGGCCTCTAAGCACAGACACAGCAGAACCCAATTCCTCAATTTCACCCATTAGTTTCCTCCAGTTCTTCTGGTCTACTTCATCCTCAGCATCCTTGAACACCTCCACTTTCTTCCTCCTCTGCATGAACTTCCTCGGGGCCAACATGCCCTGGCACACTACCTCTGTTCTTTTGCATATCTTCACCGTGTTCGTATCAAGAAAATCCCCATTAACGCTCGATTTACTGCATTTCAGATAACAGCATTTGTATCATTGCTTGACCAGTCCAGGCTTCAGTTCAAGCAGCAAAATTTAACATCCAGATACCATAGAAACACAATAAAATTTCAAAACACATACTACATATTATACTCCAAAAAGAGTTGGCCCATATATATACATGACCAATCATTATACCATGAATCATGGTTCACCTTGTACAGTAAATCACTGAAAATTCATTATTTAGTATACTATTTAAAAATTAACCTTCAGTATACTAAAAATGAAAATTTATCCATATTCCACATCCATAGTAAAATTTGCCTATACATGACATAAGCAAACCCATATCCCAAAACTAACAATTTAGGCAATAAAGAACCACCCTCTGATGCTAAAACGCTTGCATAGTACAGAAAGACAGGATTTTTATGAAAATACTACAAAGAAGTACTGAAAACATGAAATTTGAGCAAGACAATTTAGGAGATTATTTCTTTTTCTCAATTCTTGTGCTTTGTGGGAACCGGGGTAGGCGTAAAGAGCAAACCTGAAAAGAGAGGAAGATGATGGCGGAGATATGAATGGTTTTAGGAAAATCAACGCTTGAGGCATTTCCAATTTGTTCTTACGGCTCTTCCAGTTTGCTGGAGAGGCTGCACTTTGGAGTAGAAGGATTTTCTGCGAAATCTTTTTTTTTTTTTTTGAAGATATTTATTTTTATCCTATTATAATAGGTGGAAGGGGCTTTAATATGTGCTTATTCTAAAACGGCCACAAACTTTTGCATCTTATACAAGAACCCCGCATCTTTTAAATATTTGTTCTTTTTTCTTAAAAAATAGAGGATTTTCATCACATGGAAAATTCTAGAAATACGTTACATTTCTTTTTGTATGGATAATTTTTTTTTTAACTAAAATTTATGTTTGCTATTTGTTATTTTGACTTGTGATGCAAATCTTGACAAATTATATTACAAAACTAATATAATAAAAGTATGAACTCAAATAAATAAAAAGATATGGAGTAAACAATATTTGAGGAAATGATACTTTAATCTTATTTTTTATTATTACAATTAAATAAAAATAAATATAAATACTAAAGAATTGAAATGAGTATAAGTAATATTTTAAAATTATATTTGTTTTATACTCGTTATATCATAATATGAAAGAAAATAAAAATCACAACAATATAAATATTAAATTTATCTTAAATCTTATTTTAGTTCTCGAGTTGATTTAAGACAGTACAAACTTAAAATATGTCCACCAGTAATCATTGGTCTTATGTTATTCTTGTCAACTCGATAAAGATTAATCTCGAGTTGATTTAAGGCAATACAAATCTAAAATATCCCACCACAGGTCCACAGGTAATCATTGGTAGAAATTAATCTTGAGTTGATTTAGTAGCCCAAGCCTAAAGGAGGAAGAGTGTTGATGGCTGTTTAACAATCATTTTTCTTTTAACCATCAATGTATCAATCAATAATTCATATAAATAAACAGCAAAAGGGAGGGGGGGGGAAACAAATCTCCGACTAAAAAGAAAAGTTGCTGATAAAACCCACACGATTTATATTATTCAGTAATATAATGTTCATAATAGCCATGAGGCAGTCCAGAATATCTCGTCCATACACATGACACGAAACTGTTTACATTTTAAACACACATACTATATGCATCTCGCCATGGACAATGACTACACATGAACAACTGATGCTTTGATCATTTACTGGTTTTCGCAGTTTTTCACAAAGCCCGCAGCAGCAATCTGTGTTTAGCCAAAACCCACGCTACAATCTTCTTCTTCTTCTTCTACATGCGGGAGATTAACAGGGGAACAGAGACGGGAGTGTCCTCGCCCATGACTGGATGGAACAGATCCAGCTCTCCATAACGCTCCAGTACCCGCATCCTGCAATCTTCAGCAGCCATTAATCCAGTAGAATAGGCGCCATGTACAGACCCTGTGTAATTTAAGCTTGTAGCCTCTCCAGCGAAAAACAGGTTATCCACGGGGATCCTAAGCCTCTCAAACAGGTCATGGGATTTTCCTACTAAATCGTAGCTGTAAGAACCCAGTGTGTTTATATCCGTTCCCCAATGAGAAACAAGATACTGAACCTGTGCACAGAAAAGCAAACCTGAATTATAACCTTTAAACAATACGGTAGGCAGTAGCCATAACATATAATACGTCATCTGACATGAGACAAAATGTGTAGATATAAGGGAAGGGGCTGCACCATTAACACATCTAGAGATAATAACAAATGCCAACAATATAATAAGAGCAAATAAACTACTTACTGGCTGAGATGCATTGGGAAGTATTCTTTTGAGTTCTCCGAAAGCTAACATAGCAGCATCCTCATCCGTCATTTTCTCAATATCACGAGCCAGTTGCCCTGCAGGCATATAAACGAGGACAGGATATCCTGTAGCCTTGTGCAGATTGAGAAAGTAGCTACATTTGTAAGTGTTATCAGCAACAATTCCCAAGAACTCAACATTAGGCCAGAAAACATCTCCAAAGTGCAGAACAATCTTGTTCTCAATTCCTATGCCAAGATCCTTAATGGCAGTTTCTTTCCACTCAGGTAATCTGGGCTCAAAACTGATTTGATTTGACTTCAACACACCAAGAGGAACAGTAATAATTGCAGCATCAGCTACAAAGGTTCTCCCATCCTCAACTGTTACTTTTACACCATTATAACGCCTTACAACTTTCTTAACTCTGAAATAAGTTTCAATAAGAGATACAGTAAGCAGAAACTAAACAAAACCAAGGCACACACTGACATGCATATGCACATGTATCCAAACCTAAAAATTGGGATTAGAGAGAGGGACGAGGGGGATTTGAGCAAGGAAATGTTTACCTGTGACCTAAACGGATATCAAGACCTTTGGCAAGTGTATTTATCACTGGACGATAACCTCGCACCATAAGACCATGACCACCTGGAAGCAACACTTCCTGTGTGCATCACACAACAATGGATGTAAGACAAAGGTAAGAATAATTATAAGAAAATGACTACAAATACAGTTCCTGTCTCTCAATTTTCTTCTTGAAACTTAAAATAATTGGATGAGCAACACACAGTTCCTTGTCTTAAGCTTGAATCTCCCATATTTTAATATCCTGAATATTTAATTTAAACCTTAAGCAACTTATAAGTAATGAAGTTAACCTGATCCCAAGATTTCAGTGATATGGTATCAGCATCTGCAGCAAACCAACCTTCCATTCTGCACAGATACCACTGCAACACCTTATGACGAAGTCCATCCATCCTGTAAACACAACTCCACATTTGTAAAGAAGATTTGAGAAAGAAAGGGGATGTAAGCTAATGGGAATAAGTGGGACCTTAAATCTGGCCTTCTCTCAAACACCATAGAAACTGCATGTTGTATAGACATGTCTTCAGTAAATTCCTGTCTTAATTTATCCGCCTGCAGAAACAGAGAAGTAAATCTGTGAGAAATGCCTACAAAGCAATATCCCTCCATTTGGTATTTTGGTGATTTTTGTTTTTTTTTATTTCTTCCCATTCTTTATCTTCTTTTTTTAGGGTGGGTTGCTGCTGCTGTTAGAGAGAGAGAGAGAGAAAGATAAAGAGAGCTTACCTCTTTCAAAATTTCCTCAAAGGTTAACCCAATTTCAGAGACCAATTCCTGGGGAACTTGGTTCCCATCCATGTCAAAGAGTGCATAGCTGTAAAAAGGCAAAAAAGAGCTAGATGAGTAACTTGCATTCTAACTGTTGACAGCACTGTTAACTATAGCATAATAGCAAGAAAAACTATCCCAGAGATTTATTATATATTACAGAGGATCACTATGCAAATGCACAAAGAGAATTTATTTTACTCGTATTAGTGTGCACTCAGCACTAAGCATATGCGTATCAAAGGAGAAAGGATATAAAAAATGCAAACCTTTCCAAGTCATGGTCATATAAAACTGAGTTATCACCACTTGTACGATAAAGGGGTAGCCCTAGTCTTCCAATAACAGATGCCAGAGGATTCTCATCACAGACCCCATGTAACCTTAGGGAGAGAGAGAGAAAGAGAGAAAATTAATACTCTATATTTATGTTGAATCAAAAAGTTTTCTTGTTTTTTGGTGCCAAATGAGCACTAATCAAAAAGTCAATGAAGTGTATAAATACCATGATGCCCCCAAATCAACAGGAAAACCAAATGAGTAATCTGTGTGAACACGGCCACCAATTCTATCCCGTGATTCCAACACAACAACCTGAAAGAAAACAAGATTTCTAGATTGTTATATCCAAACTTTAACTGGAAAACAATGCTATTATAATTAATTAGCTACCTTGAGGGCATACCTGAAATGAAGCATCATAAAGAGCTCGGGCAGCTGCAAGTCCTGCAAAGCCGGCACCGATAACAATGACGGATGGAGAAGACTCATGCCTCCTCTCAGCATCTGAATAGCAAACAGCTAGAGAAGGTAAAAACAATTAATTAGATACAATCAATCACCAAATACTGAACAATAAGAATGTATGGAGTAACTCATAATATTTTTGTCATTTTACTTAAACAAAAAAAGCAATTGCATGCAAGAAGAAGAAAGGACAAAATACCCAAGACTCACCAAGGTATAGACTACCAAGATGTAAGCAAGAAATTGCTTAAAATAATTGCCAGACTAGTCATGCTTGGTAATAGTTTGAAATGAAGACGATTTGTGTCATACTATCATCATTTTAAACCTTTAAAAGGGAATTAAAGATACTAGCTCAAAGCAAGTAAGCTGTCAAAATTTTAGGGCAAATTTCCATAACCATCAGCCATCTGTTTCACCCTTTTACAAATCATAATTAGGGCAAGTTCACCACATAATCAAACACTACCAAGGTTTACAAGTTCAATTATCTTATTATTGTTGTCTTTTCGTATAAATTCATACTCTTGCTGACCCCCTAGAGTAAAATTGTAAAGAGAGGCACAGGCGTCACAGTGCCAGGAGACAGACAAACTTACAGAATGAAGATAAAATAATATTATAGAAGATTAATATTATTATAATCCAGAAATTATTTAGTTCGAACAAGAAGAATAATTATAGTAATTATAACAAGAGAAAACAGCTCAGAAATTTTTGCATCTTTTGATGACGTGAACAATAGAGAACAAACGAGTTGACCCACCGACTAAAAATAATTAAAAAATCAAATTGAGAAAAAAATAAAGTTAAAACATAAAAATCGAACCTCTTTGGATCTGGCGATTGTTATTACTCTTGTCTCGTGATTCCATGGTTAATGAACGACGATGATCGGCAATCGAGACGACACGTATGGTTCGAATTAATTAAATTAAAATTAATGTTGAGAAACGACAGCAATCTTAACAATCTGAGGATTAACGAATTGATGGCGAGGCCTTTTGTCTGGGAATTAAAATTATTGAAGAATTGAGGGCAGAAATGGGGAACGGATCTTTCGTCGGAGTTAGAGAAACCTAACTTCACCAAACAGCTCATGCGTATTCCGAAACTACCGCTGCCCCTGAGGAAGACAATCGGGCGGAGGAGGAGACGGCGCCGTGGCGGAGGATGAGGACAAATCAGAAATCCGGCGACGGGAAGGACGAGACTCAATGGAAAGGGTTTAGACGAGGAAATCGATCGACCGACACGGCGG